ACAGATCGGATTGACCTGATTCCAAAGCCAAAAGAACGAAAACTCATGGATCTACAACTTTTATGTTTTGAGTTTTCTCAGAAAATCACTGTAGAAGCCATCGAGGTTAAAGGAAGTCGACGGTCGTGACTTCATCTTGTTGAGGACTTCGACGAAATTTCAGTTCTGCGCTAGTTCGGGAAAATTGTCATAACTTCTTCGAAACAGATCGGATTGACCTGATTCCAAAGCCAAAAGAACGAAGACTCATGGATCTACAACTTTTATGTTTTGAGTTTTCTCAGAAAATCACTGTAGAAGCCATCGAGGTTAAAGGAAGTCGACGGTCGTGACTTCATCTTGTCGAGGACTTCGACGAAATTTCAGTTCTGCGCTAGTTCGGGAAAATGGTCATAACTTCTTCGAGACAGATCGGATTGACCTGATTCCAAAGCCAAAAGAACGAAGACTCTTGGATCTACAACTTTTATGATTTTTCTCAGAAAATCACTGTAGAAGCCATCGAGGTTAAAGGAAGTCGACGGTCGTGACTTCATCTTGTCGAGGACCTCGACGAAATTTCAGTTCTGCGCTAGTTCGGGAAAATGGTCATAACTTTTTCGAGACAGATCGGATTGACCTGATTCCAAAGCCAAAAGAACGAAAACTCTTGGATCTACAACTTTTATGATTTTTCTCAGAAAATCACTGTAGAAGCCATCGAGGTTAAAGGAAGTCGACGGTCGTGACTTCATCTTGTCGAGGACCTTGACGAAATTTTAGTTCTTCGCTAGTTCGGGAAAATGGTCATAACTTCTTCGAGACAAATCGGATTGACCTGATTCCAAAGCCAAAAGAACGAAGACTCCTGGATTTACAACTTTTGTGTTTTGAGTTTACTCAGAAAATCACTGTAGAGTTTTCGACATTAAGAGGAAGTCGACGGTTGTGACTGGTTGGAGATGCAGAAAGAAGAAATAACAGTCAACATAGTGGAGTCAAAGCAACCGCCAACGTAATGGAGTAAAAAAAAAACCGTCAAGGTAGTGGATTCAACGTAACTGTTGGAAACCACTAAAGAGCATACATGCGTATTTTAAGAGAACAGTTACTTGGAACCATGATTATGAGGAAGTTATCACTTGTGGACAAGATCGTAAGACAGTTATGTTGAAAGCAGAATCATGGCATCACATGGACATGAAGACAAGATTTTCGAAATAAAAGAACATGGGCACAACTATTGAAAACTGCTAAGGAGCAGTTACCACACGACCATTATAAATATCATCGGCCATCTACCGGAGAGAAGACCCCGACAAAATCAAACAACATGTTATCTTTCAATTATCTTTACTTTCATGTACCACACTTTATCTTTCTTTAGCTGTAGCTTTCCGATTCGCGTCGTCGATTAAATTCCGGTGTGTATCTCTATCCCGAGTGTTGCGTCATCGATTAAATTCCGGCGTTACATCTTTGTGTACGTGTGCGGCTGTATTTTCAAGCTTTGTCGTCGATTAAATTCCGACACGGTTTGTACATATAGTCCGGTTCGAAGTTCGGAGTAAAACTTCGCCGTTTTTCCTTGTCTCCCTGGATATTTCATGTCCGGAGTCGCCACGGAACCCGATCTCCTCACATTAAGAATCGAAGAACAACTTTCGGTGAATTATATTTCGCCGCGGGAGCATTTTTTGGTGAAACATAATTTGGGCACGCCCGGTGGGACCATTGTGGTTGATTTGAGGAGATACGATGCCGAGAGCAAGGAAACAAGTTGATCCCCATTACGCTGGTGGTAACAACTCATCACCACAACGTGAAAATGACAAAGTGGGATGTTCTGAGTCATCAACTGCACAACCGGTAGCAGAACAAGAGCAAGGTGAAGATGTTGACAACCCAAGACAACTCACTGATGAGCAGAGAATGCAATTACAGCTAGATCCTATGATGTTTGCTTCTATGAGGAGGATTCTCCACGAACACCAGAAGGAAACGATTAACCATATGATAAAATGCGTCATTGATGTGATAAAGCCCGTAATTGTCAACACATTCCAAGAGGTCATGCACGGGCTTGGAACATCAAGTGGTTCAATTGAAGTGCAGGCGAGTCTGGATAATCCTACTCAAGTGATCCATAGTCAAGATCCTCAGGTTGAGGTAATACTAGACCAAATGGTGCCACGCATGGAACATGATCCGGTAAATACAAGAGCCATATACAGAAAGCCATATCCAGAGTGGATGGACGCGATACCATATCCAAGAGGTTTTGAAATTCCTAATTTCAACCTTTTTTCTGGCGAAGATGATCAATCGATAGTGGAGCATGTTAGTCGATTCGAAGCACAATGTGGTGATGCATCTCATGCTGATTGTTGGAAGTTAAGGTTATTTCCCTTGTCATTATCCAAGACAGCCTTCACGTGGTACACATTTTTACCGGCTAATTCTATACATTCCTGGGAGCAAATGGAGACAAAGTTCCATAGCCAGTTCTACAGGTTAGTTCACAATGTGTCCATTACTGATTTAGCTGATATTAAGCAATATAGTTATGAATCAGTAGAGCAGTTCATTTCCAGATTCAAGAGGGCTAGAAATAGATGTCTTACTTCACTCCCGGAGAAAGAATTTACAAATTTGGCTTTCAATGGATTGAACTTTAATTTGAGAGAAAAATTTGAAGGCCAAAATTTTGCCGATTTATTTGAATTGGCAACGAGAGTGTCTAAATATGAGCAATTATTTAAGGACGGAGATAGCGGGCCACATGAAAACTTTACTCAAGATGTGTCTTTCGAGGAAAAAAATATGAGCCATATAAGAATATGAAATTCGGCCAAAAAAAAAATTCATATTTGCCGATGACAAGGGGGCATATGAGGACTTTTGCTTACCTAATTTAAAAGAATCGAATGATTGATGAATCATTCCATTCTTTTAAAGGGGGCATTTATTTATACCAAAAAATGGCCAACTTGTCGACATGGTTCAATCATGGTCAAAGATCATCAAGGGACACATGGCAGAGACTTGAGGCAACGTGAAAGCAAATATCATCAAGTTGCCAACATAAATGACACGTGTCCAGTGTATATGTTTACACCCGAAGATGACAAATTTTTTTTTTGGGTATTATTGACAAGACTGGTCATAACTTCGTCCGGGAAATTTCAGTTCTGCGCTAATTCAGGAAAATGGTCATAACTTCTTCGAGACAGATCGGATTGACCTGATTCCAAAGCCAAAAGAACGAAGACTCATGGATCTACAACTTTTATGTTTTGAGTTTTCTCAGAAAATCACTGTAGAAGCCATCGAGGTTAAACGAAGTCGACGGTCGTGACTTTATCTTGTCGAGGACTTCGACGAAATTTCAGTTATGCGCTAGTTCGGGAAAATGGTCATAACTTCTTCAAGACAGATCGGAGACCTGATTTCAAAGCCAAAAGAACGAAGACTCTTGGATCTACAACTTTTATGATTTTCTCAGAAAATCACTGTAGAAGCCATCGAGGTTAAAGGAAGTCGACGGTCGTGACTTCATCTTGTCGAGGACCTCGACGAAATTTCAGTTCTGCGCTAGTTCGGGAAAATGGTCATAACTTCTTCGAGACAGATCGGATTGACCTCATTCCAAAGCCAAAAGAACGAAGACTCCTGGATCTACAACTTTTGTGTTTTGAGTTTACTCAGAAAATCACTGTAGAGTTTTCGACATTAAGAGGAAGTCAACGGTTGTGACTAGTTGGAGATGCAGAAAGAAGAAGTAACCGTCAACATAGTGGAGTCAAAGCAACCGCCAACGTAGTGGAGTAAAAAAAAAAACCGTCAAGGTAGTGGATTCAACGTAACTGTTGGAAACCACTAAAGAGCATACATGCGTATTTTGAGAGAACAGTTACTTTTTTTTTTGCTAGAAAGAGAGAACAGTTACTTGGAACCATGATTATGAGGAAGTTATCATTTGTGGACAAGATCGTAAGACAATTATGTTGAAAGCAGAATCATGACATCACATGGAGTTCTCTAAAATGCGAATGGGGAAAGATGAACTGTGGATAGAGAGAAAGAGGGAGAGAGACTTCGTCGTCCGTCGTGGGACCCATCCGCGCCACATGTCAATCGCTGAATGGCCCGCCCCCATGGTGACGTGAAGGGGCCAGCCTGTGCAATATTTTCTCATCACTCGACAGTTGCAGAGAAATAAAGAGTTGCTAGAGTAAGAGTATAGATTTGGATAGCGTCACGGGCTGTGGAGGAGGAAGGCTCGCGAGCGATGCCAACAACCATGGACGACCAAACATAAAGGAGCAGTAGCGTCACCGGGACGGGCGACGCCAATGGCAATGGACAGCTAGCAGCGTCATCGGCCATGGCGGCTTGTTTGAGGTCAAGGAAGACAAAGCCGGACGAAGAAACTCCACGTCATTTATTATTATTTTAATTTAATTCGAGACACGTGTCAATTTTTAAATGGATGCGATGGGAAAATACATGCTACGTCAGTTGCTTAACCACCGCATATTTTCCTCGCCCAACTAAATTTCCTCAGCCGCTGATCGCCATGTCAGCGGAGGGCTGAGACACGCCCAAAAATTCAATAAAATTAATCTTTTTAATCGCGAGCGGGAGAGGGAAGATTGATTCTCGCGCGGCTTCTCGAGACTTCGATTCCTCCCAGTCAAATATATTCACGTCCTCCGCTTCTGCCTTCGTTCATTCGTCGGACGTCTCGTCACGGAGCAGGCACGAGCAACTCTCCTTGGAGCTTCGATCAGGTCAGCGTCTCTCTCTCTCTCTCTCTCTCTCTCTCTCTCTCTATATGATTCTCCTTCCGATCCCCGGCTCGACGCCATCGTTCTCGATTACATGGATTGATCGATGAATCTCGTGGCCCTCAGGGTTTGAATCCGTTGCTCGGATCAGCTGAGGATGACTCATATCCTTCAATGGGAATCTTCTTTCCGCTTGAGCAACGAGGATTTTGATCTTTTGGTTTTTTTGTCATTTCTTGTCGCGGATTCTCTTCTCCGGATTTCTTTTTTTTCCTTCTTTTTTTTTTTTGGACTCGTCGAATCGTCTGGTTGCCCGTTGAATCTTATCGGAAGATCCGTGATTTTCGCACGCGACTAGGAAGATCGATGGGTTTTGGATTCGATTGTTTCTATTTCTTTTTTGTGTCGTCTTTTCTCGAGTGCGTATGTATGACCTTGACTCGAAGCGAACGCGGTAATCAGAGGGAGCGAGATCGCGAGAGGGCTCAAGCCAGGAGCGGCCACAAGTCCAAGCAGCCCAAGGGCGACGGTTTGACTCCCGAGCAACGGCGCGAGAGGTATCGCTCTCGGTCCTCCTCACCCAGTTGTTTCGTATCCGTTTGCTCTCATCTCCTGTTGGGAAGAATGCAGGGGTTGTTGCATTTTTCATCTGGTTGATTGCTAATGTTGCTGCACCGCCCACCAGCTTTGAAGCGCCCGAATTGTTCTTTTTTCACGGTCTTCTTGCGTGTTGCGCCTATGAGTCAAATAGGACGAACTTTTTCTATGGTGTTTTTTTATAGAGGGTGGGCGCACGAAAAGGATCGACTCTTTGGTTATCTAGGAATGGTGTCGAATTGTGGAATGTTTGACTTGAAATTTGAAGCCGCAGCGTTTTCGTAATTGTATAAAGTTGTGGTCAATTTTTTGGTGGGAATAAGGTTAGAGTGAAATCTGTTTTGGGTGAGAGCCACATTCCTGCTGTTCCGACAGAGGAGTGAGGAGCTGGAGTGGTTGTGTCTCGTGTTTGAGTCCGGCAATGTGTGGAGAATGCCATTGCGAAATGTTTGTTGCGGTAATTATTTGAGAGGGACAATGGAAAGGATGCATTCGGAACCCCGATCTTTGTTAATCCATAATGTCGTTGCTATTTGCTACTCAGTAATGCCAGATGAAGGGGAAAGCATTCGAATCATCTCAGATCACAGTAGATGATGCCCTTGGACTGACTAGGATCAAATTGTGAGTTTGTGGCTATTTCAGCTATCATACTGATTTGTTCACTTTCAATTGATTGAACATGGTTCCATGGCTTGGGCCTAGAAATGGCACTCCTTGAGTAGAATTGCTCGGTTTGTTGAATGCGTGTTTCTGGCTTTCTAATTCCACGAATGGAAAAGGGATCAGATCCATGACAACTCAATTTTGGGCTGATTCTTTGGAACCAAATTCAGTGCTTACGTTTTGCGCTACTGACAAGATGACTTTCCTTTTCTTTTTGGTTGCTAATTGGACGTGTTCAGAGATGCGAATGCTTTGAAAGAGAAGGCGGCGAGGAAAGCAGCACAGGCGGCTGCCGGAGGGATTAATGCAGGCGGTGGTGGTGGTAAAGCCAACAACAAGAAATGACCATGGGGATGGTTATAGGGAAAACTAGAACTGGGTCAGATCTGTGGTGTTTCTGGGTCATCATACCATGTCGTTTTGAGTCTGAAGAAATATCATATGATGTTCGCTTTCTTGGAGGACATTGATGTTGGCTTCTGAATAGTGTCTGATTTGGAATGAAAGCATTCTTCTTCTCTGTATAATGTAACTATAGATGTTGTGTTGCCTTCAATTTGGGCTGGTTATCTCTGCCTAATTTTAGAACAATGATCAATGAACAGGCAAAGGACCTTTAATTTCCCTTTTCATCCCGTAATTGAACCTTATTAAATTGTTAATGTGGTGGTTTGATTAGGAAAAGACTAGTAAACGCCCCAATTCTAGTGTTTTTTGATCATGAGTTTATCTTTCGATTAACAATTGAACAAAAATACTAATTATTTGAGGGTGCTAATTAATTGACTATTCTGGTTGAAGGAAATCTATCTCCATCTATCTAAATGGATATATTTAAGCCAAAACTGTATTTTGCCTTATTTTAAGCTGGCACTTTCTCTAATGAAAAATTTACTCACAAATTTGACAGTTATATATATCATTTCTCTTCATCAATTTTCATACTCTATCCAAATCTTCATCATCGCGCTGTTGTTGGTTTTTCAAGTAATAGAATCAATTAGGTAATAAGGTCCATTCGACTACAAATAAAACTTATGTTACAAAGTTCACATAAGAATAGGCATAATCACAGTCACGCACGAAGTCTATCATTATCTACCCGTGGAAACTACGATTCCGTTTGTTTCACGAAAAATAAATAATTTGAAAAATAATTTTTAAAAAAGTAATCATTTATATATCTTGAAATAATTAGTTAATGAACATCGATAACAATTTATGTCTAAATATTTTCGTAGACGATAAAAATAGTTTTTATTTTTTTTGTGAGAAATACAAGTGGTTAGAAAAATATTTTACAAATTATTTATTTTTGTTGAAACAAATGTTTTTTTAGTTGAATTGGTGACTTCTATGGCAGATCCTCACCTTTGGGGGTAGCTAGCCATTTTTTTCCGAAAGATAACTTTGGAGAAGATTGCCGAAACCATCAATATGACTATATCCAAGAAAATTTGTCTTATAACATAATGGTGAAGGTCCGGTCGTATGATTGGTAGAGATCATAATTACCTTTAGTATGAAATCCCGATGATCTTTTTTTTTTCCGAAGCGATAATCTATTTTGGTTTACATGCTACTGGGCAAATTTACGAGCTTTCGGGTTTCTTGTCAACCCATCATAACTAGGGGTGAGCATGATTTGAAGGTAGCCTGGAACCTGAGAACCTGACCAATGGGAACCTGTGGATTCCAGGTTTCAAGGTATATAGGGCAAGTTTCAGATTCTAAAAATTTGAGGAACCTGTTTCGACAGGTAGGTTCCAGGTTCTAGGTTGGTGGAACCTGAAATCTAAATAAGTTTTTTGTGTTTTTTCTTGGTTTATGTCTTCGCGTGATCCTGTGATGTTTCATGGCGTTAGATAATGAGTGTATAATTTAGAACCACAAGTCTGAGCTTTTATTTTATGACTCGTTAATATTTCGTATTCTTCATGTATCTAAATATAAGTTATGGTCAGTAGATCATAACAATAAGTGGTGATCATTAAATATGATGATTCATTACGATTGTTCAATTAATAATACTATAATCGACTTGGAACCTGATAAAGTAGGTTCCAGATTCCAAAAAATGAGAGACTTATTCTCATGGGCAAGTTCTAGGTGGAACCTGTACGGAACATGGAATCGCTCATCCTTAGTATTGATTCACGCAATGACTTCTCATTTTAATTGTATTTATTTGAACCGTAATGTCAGGAAAATTAGTCTTTTGTATTCTCTTTGGTAAATGATAAGCTTATTCATTATTGTTGTGTTCATTTTCTTTTTGTTTAACTAAAAAAGAAATAAAAAAAAAAGAACCTGTTAGACCTTGGAACCTATCCTAGAACCTGTGACAAGGTAGGTTCTAAGTTCCAAGTTCCGACTGGTAGGTTCCAGATTCCAAAAAATGAGGAACCTGTACTTGAGGGTAGGTTCCAGGTGGAACCTGTAAGTAACTTAGAACCACTCACCCCTAATCATAACTCATGAAACAAAACTGGAAACATAAATCTCATATATAAGAAAACTTTAATTGAAATTGAAATAAGTGCAATTAAGTCATAAAACTTGCAAAAAGTATAATCGAGTTTTAAAACTTATCAAATTGGTTTTATCAAATCCTTCCGTCCGACGTGTCTTAATTTATTACTTTCTTAAGACATGTGACATTTGATAGTATGATGTGACCATCACCAAATGCCATATCAAAAAAATATTAAAAAAATACAAATTAAGTTAGATTAAAAAAAAAATTGACACCACGGCTTGGGCAAGCCCTCGGTGGTGGTTGTTGGGAAGGGCTGACAGAGGTCACCAAGGCTTTCTCATAGTCAGGTGACCCTCTCCAGCCTCGGGTGAGGCCTTGGCGGCCCCCAACGAGAGCTTACTGGCCCAAAACTGGGGGAGAGGGCCAGCAACCCTAGCTCAGTGAGGGTTTCCTACTCTTTTTTAGGTGATTGTTTCTCTTTTTCCTTCCTTAAATATCTTTGGTAGTTATTTTAAATATTGATCGCGGATAAAAAATAAATTTAAAAGTTTATAGAAACTACGTATCCACTAGGACCACTACAATGTTAATCCTTCCATCTCTCTATTTATAATCCCATTCTCATTTTTTCTCAACATATTTCAATATTTTAATTTTTAGTTATTTGGTTAGCAAATGCGCGCAATTTTGCGCGTGTGGGAACGCTGGTTAATTTTCATATTTCAGCGGGCCAGGGGTTCACCCGATCCGATGACCCGATTACGGTCAGCTAAGCTCGCCACGAACCGTGCCCACTCCGACAGTGCTCGGTCGCTCGTCGGACAGCTCAGAAGCTCCGCCGTTTCCGGTGGCGATTCGGTGGATCGCACCGTCGATTCTCCCTCTCTCTCTCGCTCGCATCGCTCGTCGGCGAACCCCCCGATTCGGATCGCCGGATTCTTGTCCGAAAGCAATCGCCATGGGAACTTCAGAGTCCACGCTCTCGGGATCGCAGGTAACTCTCGATCCTTTCGCCTCCACAGCTCGTCCGGCTCTTCGCTGAGGCGCACCCCGAATCCTTACTGAACGGCCGTCGTTTGCTCTTGTAGAGACCCGCCGACGAAATCACCACCGTCTCCGAGCGGCGGGAGGGCGTCGATCCCGTCCTGGAGAAGCTCAAGTCCCTCAAGATCGTGAGTAGTATAGTCCCTACATCTAGGTTTTCGCGAGCGCATGAATGAACGTGCAGGTAGTTGCTATTGATATTGACAAAGGTTGAAACTTGTGTTTGTTCGTTTGTTCAATTGATTGTAGACGCCTCCCATACTCACGTCGCTGCTGTCCGAGAGCAGCTTGACCGACATTTTGGTTAGGAAGCCACCGTCTTCGTCGGCTCCAGGTGACGCATCGGCCTCGAGACGACACTCTTTATGACTTGGTTTATGTATTACTTATTTCTTGAAGCTCGTGAATGTACTGTTAGTGAATCATTTTGTTTTGAAGTGAAATGGTGTAATGAGATCTTGAAATTCAAGCTATTGGAATGGTTGATATAGGGACTGTGAATCCGAAGGTGCTACTGGAGCTATTCTCAATGTACCGTGATTGGCAGGAGGAGAAGGTCCAAAAGATTGGCAAGAAACAGGTGTGCCTTAACGTCAGTCGTTGCTTATACTATATATAGACACTAAGACCTTTTCAATGAAAACATCATCAGAAGGCATTGGTATCTAGTTCTTCGTTATATAAATTCATTAGCCCGTTTTTGCTTAGATGGACCATTTTGAAGTGGAAGAATATTGAGAGGGTCCAATTTAGAACTAGTCAGGAATCTGTAAAGAGTGTTATGGCTTTGGGGGCGATCAACTTGTTGCCGTTTCTTTTGGTTTGATCTTTCGTTATTCTCTCTGGTGAAGATTACGTAGAAAGATTGAAAGACCTGAAGCTAGTTTTGTATAGTTGACCTGTAAAATGTAGATATGTGCTTCGCAGGATTTATGGAGATCCCCATTTCTTTGCTTTTCCCCTGTTGCCTCTCGTGCTGGTTGAGCATTTCTCTTCGGTCTTCCTTGTTGCAATTTGTTTTAACGCGGTGCAGTAATCACTTTACCCAAAGCAGTTAGGAAATGTCCTTTGTATTTTTCTTTTCAACTATAAAGCTACGCTTTGGACTTGAGAGCGAGCTTCTCAATCATGCATATATGCCGTGGCAGATAGTGTGATATTATGGGAACTGTCCTTCGGCCAATCATATTTGTTATCAGAACCAGGACAGTTTCTAGTGCACAGAGCTCAGATTTGGTGCATTTTGCTGCAGGAAGAAATAGAGAACAAGATAGAACTTGTGGATGCTTTAGCTGTGAAACTTCTCCAGCGATTTAATCACTCTGTGTCAGCAATGAAGACCACCTCTCAACATTTATCAGAAGGTACTTATCTCATGATTTTGTGATTTTGTTTGCTGCGCACTTGCTTTTAGTAGCCCAAAGGATCGAATACAGAAAGCATGAGTTGAATAACACGCTTTCTCCAGAATATGTTTAGACCTGGAAATTCAGTTGTTGTTTTCTTGGTCGGATACCTGGGAAATTCAGTTCATATGACATATTTCCTGATTGTTTCTCATTATAGCTTCAGAAATGTAAATGAATAATCTTTCATCCCTTATTCTGGAAATCTATGCAGTTCATGCATTACAAGTGGAGCTTGGGGAACTTAAGGGGAGATTGACAGAGGTCATTAGTAACTGCGATGCCCTATGCAAGAGGATAGAGTTGGAAGGGCCGGAATCTCTTCGATCATTGGTGACACCATTTGTTGCCAGGACCACCAAATCATACGACTCCAGTAGTTCATTACAAAGCGTCCTTGAGAGTAGTCCGGCTTCTACGGACTCAAAAACAGGCTGACCGATGCTTTTATTCATTTTTTTCTCGTCCCTCTTTTTTGTCCGAGGGAAGTGTAATTAGCCATTCTTGATCAAGATCGAGTGCATTTGGAGGAAGCGACCCGTTGCTGTTGTCTAATTCATCAATGGACTCGATCTGGAGGATTAGTTTCCTGAATCATATGCGGTATAGCCCATGTTATGCAACTTATCTTTTTCGGCCATTTATGCAGAATTAGTTGAAAGAGCTTTCTTGAAATGGAGTGATAGGAAGTATTGGCAGTCTGTAAGCATTGTTGTTGACAGTCGTGAATAGCAGATGCTTAATGCATAGTTCGAGTTGTACTTGAAAAAAAACAATATGATCGTGGAGATGAATAAATCAGAGATGTAGTCATCAGTGGGTGAAAAGAAACGAGTTTCTTGCATTTGCTTTCTAATCATGACTTAGGTCTTTTAAGGAAAATAACTTGCTAAATAAAAAAGAATTTAGAAATTTTATATGATGTGGTTAATTGTGTGAACATTACCTTTTTCCTAGAGAAATAAAGTGAAAACGAGATATGATAGAGCTCAGCACGCTAATTTCAAAAGGATAAATTTTAGGAACTGCAGTATGAAATTATAAGTCATTTAAGTTATTCACGCTCGATCTTAATTGATCTTAATTCTTCATATGCTTGTGCACTTCACAAGAGCTTCTTCTTGAGCAATACTTTCTTTTGTTAGGTAAAGCGAAGGAAAGTTCTCAAAATTGATTAGGGGGTATTTTTTAAAATTTCGAAAATTTGAAAGGAGTTAGAGGATATTTTGAAATTTGCATGAAAAAAGTGAAGGAAGCATTTGCAATTCTATTTTTGTAAAAGTTCTTTTGAAAATTCCGGTCTTCTTTTCTTATCTTAAATATACCTTTCCTCTCCTAAAATATTCAAACCACAAAAATTTGAATTTCTCAATATTAGGAGAAAAAACTCAGATGGCTTTATACGTGAATATATGTGAATTTTGAAAAGTTTTTTCATAATGAAAATTCTAATTTTAAGCTCCACGAGCATAAGAAAAAAAACTTTTGACCCCCCCAAAAAAAAAGCATAATATAATAATAACCTAAGGAAGAGAAGAAGGATTGACGAATATCGTCTCTTCTTTCGGTTGGTAGTTTCGCAGGCAGAGCTCGAGTCCCATGGCCTCACTTTCGAGCACTCCCTATCCTCAGCGTCCACCTCCTCCTCCTCCTCCGACGATTCCTCCTCGCCAATGCAAGACGCGATGCGCGAATCCCATCCGCACGTCGTCCTCCGCCTCCGACGACGCCGGCCAGCTCTCCCTGACGGAAGGAGCGCGGCGGAGGAGGAGCGGGACGGTGGACGCGGAGAAGCTGAAGGAGAGAGAGTCCAGGGAGAGGAAGGAGGAGGTCAACCGGAAGATCGCGTCGCAGAAGGCGATATCGGTGATCCTGCGGAGGGAGGCCACCATGGCCGTGATCGAGAAGAAGCGCGGGCCCAGCAACTCGAGGAAGCTGCTCCCGAGGACTGTCCTCGAAGCTCTCCACGAGAGGATCACGGCCCTGCGCTGGGACTCTGCGCTCAAGGTCAGAGAACCGATTGATTACGACGATGTCTTGGTTTCGCTTGCTTCTGGTGGAATCTTGTTGGGTGTGAGGAAAGTCTGTTTTTTTATGGAGATGGAATTGCTTGTTGCTGGAGTATTGCTCTACTGCTGCTGTTAATTGGCGGTTTGGGTAACAAAAATTTGGAGGAAGTGGTCTTGATGGGGGCGTTTTGTTTGATTTGAGCTTCATTTCTGTTCGATCAGTTGCTTACATATCGTTTAAGAGGGTCAAAGTAGCTTCCCTCTAGGAAAACATTGCAGTAACAAATGGTGCACGATTCAGTTGGTTTGCTCTGATCAAGTAAATTTGCCATCATCTCGAACTAGTTCTGCTAAGTTCCGAGCTAATTTGTGTTCAAGTTGAGCTTTAACAGCTTCCTGAGTATTTTGCTGATAAAATGTAGGAAATATGGTTTGATGGGTTCAAAGTCCGGGCAACATGGCATTGAATTTTGTGATCTTTTTTGGAAAAAAGTAAGTTTGGGTTGACATTTCTGAAGGGGCCATTACTATTAAGTGAACTTTAAGAAATCTCCGAGACACTTGCTTCATTCTCTGCTTGATGAGCACTGACAGTTCGACTAATAGATTTTCATCATTTATCTGTGTGTTCCTTGGAAAATACGCACCTTTCAGTTATTACCTATGCATTTGTCTCATGTCATAATGTTTCTGAATGCTTTATTTTCAGGTTTTTGAACTGTTGCGTGAGCAGCTCTGGTACAGACCAAACCCTGCCACCTATGTTAAGTTGATTGTCATGCTTGGGAAATGTAAGCAACCAGAAAAGGCTCATGTGCTCTTTCAAGCTATGATGGATGAAGGATGTGTTGCCAATCATGAGTCGTATACAGCACTTTTATCTGCTTACAGTAGGAGTGGTCTCTTTGACAAGGCATTTTTTATCCTTGAGCAGATGAAGAGCACCAGAGGCTGTAGGCCGGACGTCCATACTTATTCTATCCTTATAAAGTCATGCCTGCAAGTTTTTGCATTTGATAAGGTGCAGGTCTTGCTTTCTGATATGGAAGCTGAAGGCATTAGACCCAACACGATCACTTACAACACCCTAATTGATGCTTATGGGAAAGCAAAAATGTACGTGTTAATTACTCTTTTAGTTTCGGAAGCTCCATCTTGTCTCTCAGATCATAGATTATGTTGAAAGGTTGTGTTTGGTTTTGGATAATCTGTCACACCTATAACTTTCTTCCCCATTTAGATATTTCAGAAAGTAGGAATGATCTGGAGAAAATTCTGGTTAAACACGTGCATGCACGTACACTCACATGTATGAAGATTCTTTGAAGTTACTTCTATATATGTGCCACTTCTACTGGAGCTTGCACAAACATGTCCTCCTCCTCGATGTTTCTTATTTGGCCTGCTATCTTCTTCCCATATATCCTGAATGACTAGAAGGACATGATATGGCTAGAGAAGTAACCTTTTAGCATGATTTAAAAGGTTTGCAGAGATGGAGTCAACAATAGCAGAAATGCTACGTCAACCAGACTGCGAGCCTGATGTTTGGACCATGAACTCTACAATTAGAGCCTTTGGCAGCAGTGGGCAAATAGTAACCATGGAGAAGTGTTACGAGAAGTTTCAGAGTGCAGGAATACAGCCCAATATTAGAACATTCAATATTCTCCTGGATTCCTATGCAAAAGCTGGAAATTATGAGAAAATGAGTGCAGTGATGGAATACATGCAGAAGTACCAATACTCCTGGACAAGTGTGACGTACAATGTTCTGATAGATGCATTTGGGAGGGCTGGGGATTTAAAACAGATGGAACATTTGTTTAGGCTAATGCAGTCAGAGAGGATTAAGCCAAACTGCGTCACACTTTGTTCACTTGTAAGAGCATATGGACAAGCTGGGAAAGCTGATAAAATTAAAGGTGTTTTGCGGTTTATAGATAATTCCGATGTAATGCTAGATACAGTGTTTTTTAATTGCTTAGTGGATGCTTTTGGGAGGGTGGAATGCTTTGCAGAGATGAAGGATGTGCTTGAGATGATGAAGCAAAAAGGATGTAAACCAGACAAAATTACATATAGAACGATGGTTAAAGCCTATTCAATCAGTAAGATGATGAGCCATGTGAAGGAACTACAAAATCTATATGAATCGGATTGGAAAAGTTCAACAGAAGATGGAGAAGTCTAGCTTGCAGTGAGAAATTTTCAGGTCAGTGCATCCTGCTCTAATGATTGTTTTAGATTCAATGCATTAAGCAAAGAATAAATTCTTGTTTTCTTGGCACCCGATTGTGAATGCTTGTTATTTGATATGAGAAGATAGGTGACAAGAGGTGAGTTCGAATAGTTAATTATACTTAACATGCCAAATGCAGTCCAAACAGTTGTTGTTCCTGTTGACACACCAAATGCATGTATTCAAGAGCCGATAGAATCATTGGAGTGAATGTTTATCTCAAATGTCATTGTATGCACCATTAGATTTGTCTACCCTATTATCACAAGTTCAGAATTGTCTATGGGAAGCTTATGCCTAGGGAGACCGTTTAGAGAGACCACTCTCTTTGGCCTCGATGAATGAATGAATTTACTTCCACCTTGAGTTTTTGTGTGGATGTGTCTTTTCCTCAGAATCTAAATGCCTAACATCGTCATGCAGGGTTTCACCGAAGCTACTGCATCATGAAAGTAAAGTTGATTTTGGAGCGGCAGCTTCGGAGTGCTTCTCCAGTTTCTGCGCAATTTTAAGGTAAAATTATAAATCTTCCACAAATGAGGAGATATGTACCATGATATATTCTGCAGCTTTTTCCTTGACCTTTTAAGCTGAAGCATTTTGTTTTTTCTCCATAGCAAACAAGCATTGCTGGAGAAAAAATATGAGAGGAAAATATTAAAAAAAAAAAACTTTTTCTACTTCCTGCTTCTTTCTTCTTTCTTATAATTATTCTGTGTGAAACACAATTTCCTAGGCACTTCAGGCTTCCGCAATAGATCTGCTTCTTGGATCACTCTCGATGATGACTCAATTTTTTTCTCGCAAGACCTTTTTTGTAAGAGACTGTTCAAATCTGTTATTGGATTTGGGTCCTTATCAGAACAGAGAGAAGTACAGTCGATTTGCTCAAGAAATGGAGCAGAACAAGCGGAGACACTCTGAATAATAGCTTTGAGATAGCTACGGAGAGCACTGATCAGACAACACTGTATGTGCAGCCATGGTGACTCATTCTTTGTAGCTATAGGCAATTATAGCCTACTCTTTGAGGCATTTTTGGATAAGAATCTGAGCAACTGAAAGGCGAAAATCTTATACTCTCTGCGGCGAATATCACAAGAAACTTTGATGGAAACGAAGCATCTTCCCCGGTCATACCAGAGGATGCACACTCCCAATTTCCTCTGAACTTTGGAATCTCCACTGACCTCTGAAAAGCAAAATCATATGAAGGTTGTACATTCTTTATAAGGCATGAAACATTTTTATGATCTTACAAGTTGTTGGGGAACCTATTTTGTACCGGGTCTCGCATTTGGTCAAAATGTCGGTGCAAATCATATAAAGCATTGGACAGATTGTAGTCTAACCGTCTATTCGATTTTAGTGGCCCGGGAAAATTGTTCTAATATATTATGCTGTTGTTACGATCGACTCTTTGCTTGTGTCCCCAAATTTAAACAGCAAGGACGTCATTTAAGCTGAAGATCTCTCCTGATTGATCCTGTTTCATCTCAGGTAGTTCTTGTACACAAATTTACTCTAAACTAAATCTTTGACCATAAAAAATCTCATCATAAGCTAGTACACTTGTGACAAATTTACTCCAAATTAATTTTTTGATCATAAAAAACTCTAAACTTATATGTTTGTGACAAATTTACCTTCTATTATTTCCGTTAAATTGGATTAATATCATGAACAATCACAAAATGGTACACATTCAACAAACAGTGGGTAAAATTCTAAACTAGTACATCCGAACTGGTACACCCGTCGTCAATTGTCACGTGTCATCTAACTTAGCAATTTCGTGGTAAAATTTAATTAAAACTAACGGAGGGTAAATTTATCACAGGTGTATCAGTTTGGGGGTTTTGGTGGTCAAAAAATTAATTTGAGGTAAATTTATCACAGGCGTACCGGTTTGGGATTTTTCGTGGTGTTAACCTAATAAAAAGTTCAGAAAAAGGAAGAAGAAAAAGCACTGCGTTCTTAACGAAAAGCCCACTTTGTAAGGAGGCCACTTTCCACAGGGCCCTCTTCATCGATCGTCTTCCTCCTCTTCGCCAAATCTCAATGCCCGGCCCAAGCTTCAAGCTCTCTCTCGAACAGGCTTCGCTCGCTCGCGTGCGCTTCCCCGGTTCGAACTCGAACGGGGGGGGGGGATCAAAAACCAGAGATCACCAAAGCTGACGAAGTTCGAGCACGACGATCGATGGACGCGTGACCGATGGATCCTCCCTCCCGCACGCACGCAGAATCACCCGCGCAGCGCCTCTCCGACCGTCACCGCGGCGCGCATTCTGCGCACGGACGCCGATAGCTAGGTCAAGCTCGAGCTGCTGCTGCTGCCGCTTCTTCTTCGCCCAGCCGAGAGCGCGCCGTGCCTCGGTGGTTTTCGATACGTTTCCGCGGTTGATCGTCGCAATTCAGGTGATTCCTCTCCCTCCTCTTGTCGCGCCCGCTTCGTTTTCCGGCTGCCCTACCGTTGCGTTTCGTGGGGGGCCGTGGGGTGAAGGTGCATTGGAGTTCAGTTTGTGGGGGGAAACGGACGTGGTGTTCTTAGGGTTTGGGAGTTTTGGGCTTAATGCTTGCGAGTACGTGCTTCTTGTCGTCTTATATGTTAGCGTGCTGGTGGAGTGTGGCAGTGGAGACGTTAATAACTTAGGACTGAGCTGGCCAATGAGAGAGAGAGTTAGCTTAGGCTCTGTTTTCGCTTATAAGTAGAAGCACTGGATTTCGTGAAGGTGCTCATGTACGAGGGTGACATAAGTGGAAGTTCTTATTATTGGAATTTGGTACTATTGGTTTCAGAGGATTCTTTGTAATTCGGTGCCTGTGCCCTTTTGACAGTAGCAGGTGACTCTGTTCTTGGTTTTCTGTCGGATTACGGTAGTCCTTGTGAGCAGTGTGTTAATTATCAATGTAGTTGTTAACGTTGCCCTTTGGAACACCCATTGGTTCTCGGTTTCAATGATGAATTCCCACCATATCCAGATTTAGAGGAGGTATTTCTTTTTAATTTTACTGCTCAAGATTGCTCTGAATTTGATTATGTTGTTGATTTGGCAAGTTGTTTGTCTACTTCAATCTGACAACAGAATGATGCTTCAATCATGATCTAGTTGAATAATCTTTCAAGGTCATTGTAGATTGTTGAATCAATGGAAGGCGGAAGCTTGTAGAAAAAAGTGTTGGAATGCATGGATGTAGTGGAGAGTCCACTCTCCTTGTAAATGCTGAGGTTGATTCTTCCATGGGTGGAGTTGCTGACTGTGGAGTTGGCACTAGTATCAAAGCCTCTCCACACCAAGCAGCAATTGAGAAGGCTCAAACAGAACTTGGGTGACCCTTCATTGTGCCTTTTCCCTCATCCATCTAATATTTCATTCTGCCCTATATTTGGGCTGAATCTAAAGCAAACTTAATCTTGCCGATAACAGACTGGAATATGACTATCGTGAAGAACGGAGAAGAGAGCTGGAATTCCTTGAGAAAGTATAATAGATTCTTTTCCTGATGCTTCTGGCAGTTAGACCTTTCCTTTTTTAATTTAATTATTCAAGTTACTTATGTAGGTAGTAATGATCATTTTGCATGGTTTTCACTTTCAGGGAGGCAATCCTTTGGATTTTAAATATAGCACTGCAACTGCAGCCAGTGTGCAATCAACTTCGCTTACTGATCAACATTTGGAGCAAGTGGCAACCAGGTATACTTTGAGTGTTTTTTCAATGGTTATAGAGGGTCTTTTAGTTGAGCTGTTGAATGGATCATTTAATACTTTGTTCTCTCCCGCCTACCAACATATGTGTTTATCATTGTCACAGTGAAGCAAGGGGTAGTTTTGCATTGGCTGCATCACCTCATGGGGACTCTCTTGAGAGTAGTGATAGGCCTCGACTTCTCTGTGGTTCAAACTGTGTCGATAATCAATTAGATTCTAATGGTGAGGGCCATTTGGTTGAAGGAGAAAAGAACTCAATGCGTGGTGGTAGAAGGAATAAGTTTGCTCCTTCTAAGCAGTCATCTCAATTTGATGGGAGTCAAAATGCCAAGGACTCTGAAGAGTCTGCTATATTTCGTCCATATGCTCGAAGGAATCGGTCAAGGCCAAACCGTGATGGTGCCCGATCAAGTTCTGCTGATATGTTTCACGGTCATGGTTGTCATGGATTATCTTTAGCCATGCGAGTGGGTTTTAGAGACCCTAAGAGTTCAGTATCCGAAATAATGAACCACAAGGAAGAGAGTTTGCTGATGATCACTAGACCGAAATGCTCAAGTGCCAAGGGCAACAAAAGAATTCAGTCAGATATTGGGGTAGATGGTGAGAAGGATCTTGAATCAACTTCTGTTCATGCAGAGAGCGACCATCCTGGTGGTAACTTGGATGTTGCAGTTAAAATCTCAAGGGATAACCGAAGTACTAGATCAGTTAAAGTTGATTTAACGAAGAATGCAGTAGATATGGATTCTGGTGTTTCAGATATTCGAGCTAGAGAAAATTCGGCATTTGCTGATACTGATCTTCCGTCCGCAGTTGTAGCAAAAGTTGAAGATGAAACTAGTTCTGGTGTAGTGAGTAGTTTTGCAGACGAACATAGTGACCGGAGAAACCATGTAAATGAGTGTCAAAATAAGGCTGCTGCATTTGGTGTGACGGGTTTGGACTCAGAATCTTCCTGTACCCGCACTAGTACAGGCGCAGATGTACATAATGATTGTGATGTTTATAATAGTTCAAAAACTGCCTGTATCACTGTGAATGCCGGGATGCTTCCATCTGAACCTGAGGCTAGTGAGAAGTTAATTTCTGAAGAAATTGTAAAAGAGCCAAATGACAGCAAAAGTACTGAATATGATGCTCTTTCAAAAGATGAGAATAAATCTGATGCTCATGCCCATGTAGCTAATGGTGCCATTTGTAAAGGTGAAGAAATGCATGAAAGATCTGGCCCCGAAAAGGAGGTGCAAAATTCTCCAGGAGGCAGGGGGATGGTACAGATTGGACATGTTGCGTCAGCAATTGAAAGAGATAGAAGCAAAAGTTTTGATGGCAATCCCATTATCCAGGAAAAGATTCCCCTTGGAAGACCTCAAGGAATTGATGTTTTAGCTTGTGAACAGAAAAGTTCTTCTTCAGAGAGGGATCATGCTGTTCTTTTAGACCCTAAGATTTGTTGTTTGGACAACTTGAACTTGGTAGATAAGGCAAGAGAGGATCGTGTCGTGGAAGAGGCACAAATAATTGAGGTAAATTTATTGTAGCAGCTATTTAGTTACCACTGTAGTTGACAAAGAAAGAAGGGTCTTATAGGATTCACAGATATCACCTTATGCAATATACAGGCACGTCGTAAGAGGATTGCTGAGTTATCTTTTGGTGCTATAAAGTTGGAGAACCGTCGGAGATCTCACTGGTATTATGTCCTTGAAGAAATGGCATGGCTGGCAAATGATTTTGCACAGGTTTGGTTGTATGATAATACCGTGCAGTTATTTTCTTTCCTGTGTATTACTCTCTTTTTTCTGGAGCTTCACTGCTGTGCATAGTTTTGAATATTAGCCGATGGCCCGATGGTGGTGAGTATGGCCAACGGAAGTGTGGTCGATCAGGTTGCAGCGAGTAGTCTACCGCTATCCAGCATTCATGCAGTTTGAGGAAAATATCACTTTTCTACGCAAACATGGTTATTGGCAATGGCAGTTATTGTGAACCGCAGTTTCTGAAACTGCAGCTCGGCTATTAAAACATAGCCATTAAAACAAAATCAAATTTCACAATCTAGAGTAATGACTCAACTAATGCTCTTTCATGTTTAATGCAGCAATCAAAGGATGCTTAATCAAATAATATCACATTTGAATGTCCATAGAAACTTAATCATTTCATTTGGAAAAACTTAACATGTAAAATCTCTGAATTATTGCACTTGTATTTTACTGTATCATAAACAAAGGGTTGGAAATTAGTCAAGGTTCCCATAATTTCTTGAAGTCAAGACATAGATTATCTAAAAATTTCCATTATTTAAGTTGAAGATTAATGCTTTGCATTTTTACATGGAGTCTTTCTTTATTTGCATTTTGTGGATTTTGCAAAACATAAGCACTGCAGTGATCCCAAATTTCTGATAAAATATTTGTTATGCCTGCTTCTGCAATAATTTGGTTACAGCTTCTGTGACCTCTGCTGCACTTTAAAACCTTGGTTCATTTTGTACTTCTTTAGGAGCGTGTTTGGAAAATGACTGCTGCAGCTCAATTATGTCATCAAATTGCTTCTGCATCACAGTTGCGATTTGAAGAACAATATCGTCAGAAAAAGCTGAAAAAGTTAGCATTCAACTTTGCGAAGGCTGTGATGCAATTCTGGCATGTAGCGGATATGCTTGCTTATGGTGATGATGCAAGTTTTGACATGAAAAGCGACCATTGTCTGGAAGATGGACCAAGGAAGAGAGATGACAATGATTTGCATCATGACAAAAGCAGAAAAATCCAGAAGATGCAGGTATCATTGCGAAGATAATTGTTCTCTCATGCAATAGTGCTGCTTGGTTAATTTGTGATAGGCATAAAAATTAATGCATCTTGCTCTGGTTTTTCATGATTCATGAATATAAATAATATTTTATATAAAAAAAGGATTAGTGTTCTCTGACGTTATTTTTATGGATCTATGTTTATAATTCATTTGTGCCTTCTTATTAAGTAGTTTTCCTGCCTTGGCTTGGGGAGCCCTTCGTTGAGATGCGTGTGATCCTACTGATTCTAAAAAACAGTATGATTAAGATGCTACATTCTGAATCGAGGGTTTTCTGAAGGTGCTGTTAATATATTCTGAGGCAAATATTTACTTGGATCAAAGTAAGTTGCACTCTTTGAGGTTGGAATATAAAGAAGAAACTGCAGAAAGGATGTGTGACTAGAGGACTTGGTCAAATTTCATTTTGATGAGTTCTTGTTATTGGATATCTTTTAATTATTAGATTTATGAAAGTGAAGGATTTGAAGGTATTATGGGGGACCTATCTCTCTAAAAAGGAGCCAATAGACCAAAAAGATCTTAATTAGATAACATCCTCTATGAAATTATAAGCAGCTCTTTATTATATTCGATTTTCCCCCGCTTCATCTCGAAGTGTTCCAAAGAGTGTCTCTTAGCCCCAAAGTTCAGACCCTTTACATTGTTCCCTTACCCAATATTTGGGGGCACAGTGGCAATCTGTGGCATGATGATGCTTCAAAGAGACAATGTTCAGTGTGGAGAGAGAGAGAGAGAGAGAGAGAGAGAGAGAGAGAGAGAGAGAGAGAGAGAGAGAGAGAGAGAGAGGTTGCAATGGGTGGCATGCCAATGATTGCAGGCGACTGCGATGGTAGCACAATGAGAAATCTGATTCTCAACTAAGAGATTGGGCACACCGCTTAGCAATGGCTCAGTGTGGACGACGATGGTGTGGAGAGGAAGATGCAGAGAGGAGAGTTACATCTTGAGAGAGTCTTGAGAGGTTCTATGTAGTGTTTTTCTGGGGTTGAGAAAATTGCAATCCCTAAAGTTTAAGGTTTTTATAGTTCTTCAGGTAAAACATATATATATCTTTCACACCTTTTACCGCGCCCTGCGAGGTTAACCCAAATATGCTCCTATCAAGGTGGCGATCTGTGGAGTGCGGGGACTCTTATTGTGTCAGTCTGTATACCTGATAGTGGCAGGCTTGGATGTGTAGGTGATGTAGATAGAAGATTTTCTGTAGCTGTAGAGTTGATTATTTCTTGCCTCTCATGTATAACCCTTATTTAATTGTTAGTCAGAAAGTCATGTCTATGTTTCTATGTTCAGTTTTTAGCTGACTATGCAATATGACATTCAACCATCTTAATTGTGGCTCCTGTTGAATTCTTGGTGTGGCACGCAGGTACTATGTTCCGCAAAATTTCCTTCGCTTGCTGTTCAGGGATATGCCATGCGGTTTTTGAAAGAGAACAGGCTACATGTTCCTGCCTTCAAAGCTGAGGCATTAACAGATACAGAGGAAGAGACAGACATGGAGATTTCCCAATTATCCCATGACAATCATCTTACAGGAGTAAGTGTCCACTCTTTGGTTGTAAATGTCTCTGGATAGTGATGTAACATACTTGGTGTTATCAAATGTGTCCTCTCGTTGCCTCCCTGATTTTTGTTTTCGGTTTTTTAGCATATGCTATCAGCATTCTGGTCAGTGCACAGCTTGAACTATGGTGTTCGTAGTGCCAGTGAAATTGTAGATCATTGAAGCATCCACTCTCAGCAAATTTTAGTTTTATTGAATGCTTGCAGATTGCTCTTGCAGGTGTTGTTTTAACTTACAGCAGATTGCATTTATTTTGGCAGGATAGTATCTTTTACACAATTTCCTTTGGTGCAATGGAGACATACAGGAAGTCTGTTGAATCCTGTGTGACACAGTGTGAGGCAAGTACCTTCCCAGCTGCTGTTAATACATGGATTTTTTCCATTTGTGTTGAGATTTGTTACACTGGAGTAGCTTTTACTGGTTACTTCTTCCAATTTGTGGCTCTTACAGTTTGATTGTTCTTCATTTTTACATGAAACTCCTAAAACCATTCAAAGTATGCGAATATTTGACATATGGAGTCACAGGTGTTTTTCCATTTTTTTAAAGCTCACAACAACTATTTTTAATTTTCAAGTTTTGGAGGGAAGTTATATAGATAAAAATTTTAAGCTGCAACAAGCAGGCTCACAGAAAGGCTTTAGAAGACCCTCATTCCTCATCATGTGGGGTGGCCTTTCTTTTGCCTATTGGGAAATATTGTTGGCACAATTATGTGAGCGTTGACTGGTCGTTTTTTATGCTTATTGTATTGGTAATGTTTCAGAATACGGAAAGTAATATGCAGGAGGAAGTCAATTCATCCTTGCCAGAGACAATATCAGGTGATTCCAGGATTTGGGATATCCGAGTTCGTTATCAGTTTTCTCCTCCTTTGGGTTGCTTATTAGTTTATTTTGTTCAGTCTATGGATACCAAGCAACTCCTCATAACGAAAATGAGCGAGAGACATGCATGTACAATCTTTCTGGGACCTTCAAAGGTAGCAAGTTGTCAAAACCTTTCCAGAAGAATCAGAAACGCTTTAAGTCATACACTTCTGGATCGTATGAAATGGCAGCTGATTTACCCTATGGAGAAAACAGAATGGGGACGCAACAGTCATTTTTTATGGGCAAGAGAGCTGCTAATCTCGATGTTGGTCCAGTTCCACCAAAGCGCATGCGAACTACTCCCAGACAGAGGGTCTTAAGTCCCTTGAATGGTGGAGCTGGTTTGAGGGGTTATACCAAAAGTGATGCTTCTAGTGGAGATACCAATTCTCTTCAGGACGATCAGAGTACACTGCATAGTGGATCACAGGTTCAGAAAATTATGGAGGCTGAGTCAGTTGGGGGCCTTGAAAAGCAGTTGCCGTATGACTCTGCGGACGCCTCAATCAAATCCAAGAAAAAAAAGAAACAAAAGCTTCTGGTGCTGACTTACTCCTTTTGGCAAATTCAGGGAATCTTTTGCATTTCTTTTTCTTCGGTGCCAGTATGATTGATTCTTCTCCACTGCAGAGTTCTCCATACGAGCAGGATTGGCAGCTGGATTCCACTGTTCACATTGAACAGGTAATTTTCATTCATTGTGTGCAGGGTAGAAATCCTATGGTCTTCACTTTAGTGATCTAATCTCCTCAGTTTATGTCAAGTGCAATTGGATTTGGTATTAAAATCTTACTGGTTTACGAAAAGACAACTTTTAGATTGTCAGTGATCATGTTGGATAATATTTTCCCTCTCATTGAATTATTTTCAGAAGTCTATGTGCAGGCAGTGGCTGGCAAAAGCTTTGAGTTCATCTTCTTTGTCGGTTAAGTTCTGGTGGTTGCAGACCTCCTTAGACATATTTAGATAATGTTATTGCGGCCTCTAGCTAGGAAATTTTTGTTATATGTATATATAAGCAATTTGAACATTTTCTATAAACTTTTCTTTGATATATGTGGTCAGACATTTACATGCAGTTCATCATTCCTGCACACCTGCTGTTGCTCATTTTGCACGGTACTTAGAAGAGCTTTGCTTTTATTTCTTGTCTGCAATTGATGATATGAACACTACATAATTTCATTTGTACCCGGTAACAAATAAGAAGAGAAAATCTCAAATCGGTAATTTGCATAAACTTATTGCTATATTTATTTGAAAATATGATGCATCTAATGCTCTTCAAGATCTCTTACTGTATGCTTGCAGCTTTCAGAAGAGTTTCTCTAAGTCACGAGATCATCTGAATGTTACACTTAGGGAAACGCCAAGTTTATTGTTGTTTTCTATGTACACATCCCTTATAAAGGGTAGTTTCATATTTCGGAACTGTTGTTTTTGTTGTTATTGTCAACCGTCGTGGCGTATTATGGGGAGAAATTAGTGGACGAACAGATGGAGGGGTTCTTCTGGTTTGTATTGTGCTGTGACTGTAATAAAAATCAATTAGTAGGTGAAGACTTCTCATTATTGGTTTGCATAGGAAAGTGGAATCTATTCTGCTTGAGATTGAAATTTTTTTTAATGTTGCTTCCTTCTTGAATTACCTGACATCATATGACTATTGTATCATCCATGCTTGATGACAAAGGTATTCATTAATGCCACCATTGTTGCACAGAGGGATCAATTGAAGAAGAGGTTAGAGAATCATTATTTTGATTCAAATAGAGCCAGTGGTAAGGCTCATTCCCAACTCATGTTTTCTTGATGAGGTTTCTTGAGGAAACATTGTGTCAGGTCTTTTCTCAGTTTTACATTCTCGATCATTTTGACGAAAGTTTGTATGGTGAACATGCAGCCAAGAAGCCAAAGATGATCAAGCAATCACCTGATAATACTTTTGACAACATCACGTCAGTGACTGGGTCCATCCCTTCTCCTGTAGCATCTCAAATGAGTAACATGTCCACCCCGAACAAATTGGTAAACTCGACTAACGGTCATGATAGGAGCACGAAAGTGAAAGGATTTAAGGTACATCCTAATTAACAGTGTGTCATCAGTTCAGTCTTGCTGTCACTAATTTATGTGTTCTTTTTGCGGTGGCTCTGAGCATTTGTTATCACTGCAGATGTCCACAGTGCAGCCAGGTTCTGGAAGTCTTTGGTCACTAGTTGAGGACCAGGTTAATTTTGTCATAATTGCCCTACCTGAAAAAATATCATATTTTCTACAACATCGTTTTCATTACCATTGGAATATATATTCTAGATCAAGTCCATTAGTCATGATAGAAATGTTCCCTTCCTTACACATATTTTTGTGTCTCCGAAATGGTACTTTGCTCTTAGGCTCTTATCGTCCTGGTACATGATATGGGTCCAAATTGGGAGCTGGTCAGCGATGCAATCAATAACACTCTACAATTTAAGGTAGATCTCTGTCATATGCTTTGTTAGAGAGTGACGCACCCATCTACTCTTAGAGGGTTGATATATCCATTTGCTCAAGCTGGTCGATAGGTCCATTTGTTCAAGTTTTTATTTCTTCCAATGTTTTTATCCAGTGTCTATTCCGCAAGCCTAAAGAATGTAAGGAGCGTCACAAGTGTTTAATGGATAAGAATGCTGGTGATGGGGCTGATAGCGGTGAAGATTCGGGGTCGTCTCATTCTTATCCGTTTACTTTACCAGGCATTCCTAAGGCAAATCTCTATTTCTTCCTGTCTGCAACAAGTTGAACTAATGTTATTGCATATTTTACCTCCAACACAACATTTTGCCTGCTTCAGTTGATTGAATGATATGCCATATTTCATGCAGGGAAGTGCAAGACAGTTGTTTCAGCACTTGCAAGGGCCTATGGTGGAACAAGCTTTAAACGAACACTTTGAGAAAATAATTAGAATTAGCCAGAAGCAGCATTACCAAAGAATTACGGTTTGTGCCCTTGATGTAGGACTAGTTACATTGCAGAGTTAAAATGTTGATCAAATGAAGAAAGATAGTACTTTCTTTGTCTCCATTGTCTGCGTTTTCTGATTGGTCGAATGGTTTATGCTTTGAGTAGGAATACTTTGAGGTCTCTATGTGATTTTAGTTTACGTTGAGCCCATATTGCACCTAGATAGGTAGGAGTTGGCCTGTAAAAAACATGCTACATGGTGTACCCACCTGTTGGTCATTACATATTTCTGTTGAAAATGTATATGTTATCAATAGTAGCAACATTCATACCTAGCTCAAGCATTATCCCATAAAGATGTCGAACCAGTAACCAACAAAAGGTGGTGGCAATAGAATATACAGCGGATAAGAATTCAAAAACTTGGTAAATAATTGGGATTGTACAATCTGGGTGCAAGAAGTACCTTTGATCTTGAAGCAAACATTGTTAACTTTTCTTGTTGTATTTCAAATGCTTCCTGACTCAAGGTTTTTTGTTTTTTATTTTCCTTTTGGTTGAAGAATGACAGCCATAATCAAAAGCAAATACCTGTCCACCACTCTCATTTTGTTGCTCTTTCTCAAGTTTGTCCAAATAACCTCAATGGAGTTTTTCTCACGTAAGTACGATGCTCATCATCCATCTTCTTTGAATCTCTTTGCGCAAGACAAGATGTAGTAGCTTTATTCTTGATCTTTAACATGAGACTAAAGTAGTTTTCCCCCTATCCGAAGACCTTTTGATCTCTGTGAAACAACTGCGCCCCCCGTGTATCAAGGTTCTCAAGCTAGTAATCTAGCATCATCAAACCAATGGGCTGTGCCACCAATGCTTGCTACATACGGGGAAAATAAATCTGGGGAAATTTCATCATTACATGGATCAAGCAGTATGGTTCTTGGTCCTAACTCCTTGTCATGTACTGATGCACTCACAGCCTCTTGCAGGTAATTTACTATACTTGAGTGAGCATGATGTTCTTCTCTAATAATTTCATTCTCAATATTTTGATCTATCATTTCTTGACTATGTATTTTATCATGGATGCTAGATTTAATTTTCCAAGAACATTATCTACGCCAGTTGATCAGCAGAATACGACGCAGCATTATAATCAAATGACATCTCCTGTGAACATGCAACAACCCAACCTATCTGTTTCTGGGCCTCTCTCTGTGACTGATTGTGATGTCCGTATGAAGCCTGGTGGAAACGGTGTGGTTGTGAATAGTGGGATGGATGGAAGCATGCCAATGTCTCGATTGGAGATTCATGGAATGACCTCGTCATCAGTGCTGAGTACTAGCAGCATGATGGGTATGCCAAGTCCTGTAAATATGCACCCTAGACCTGATTCTGCACAAGGAAACTCAACCTTGCAACCTCGTGAGGCTCTGCATTCGGTGAGGGTGAGGTTTAATATCTATTTTATAAATTGAAAAATCATGCTGATTTATCTGTTTCCTTTACATGAATAGATCGTGCTGGAAAACAATCTTAAATTTGAGAAAGGCTGGTAGTTAAAAATTGGAGTGATATGTGAGTTTAATAGCATACGAAGTATTTTGATTTCTATGTCCATCACAGAAATCATAACAAGATGGACAGTGTTGTCATTATCAGATTGTGCCTTCATTCTTCCATAAATTTTGATGCGATACATCAGTTCTGGTAACTTATATGAAAGCTGTCTTCTTTGATACCAGCCTGACCATATCTCGGAGCAGCAAACCCAAAGGTTGGTTCCGGGATTTCAAAAGCAGGTCACTCAAGGGAATATTCAAGGCGTTCCTCCTCTTAATGGGTTGGGTTGTGCGTTTTCTAATCAGGCAACTCCAACTCAGATGTATCCAGGCCATTCTCAGCAGCAATATCAATCGTCCTCTCGACAACCTCATCTGCCTAATAGTCCTTATTATCGCCCTAATATTCAGGGGCAGAATCAAGCAACTGATTTGCCACAGCAAACTTATGCAATCCGTATTGCTAAGGAAAGACAGCTTCAGCAGCAGCATCTCCAACAGCCTCAGCAGCAGCTCTCTGGATCTAATAATGCTGTCACGTCGCATGTGCAACCACAACCTCAGTCTCCCATTCCGTCTTTGCAGAATAGTTCCCTGCAACAATCCCAGTCACCATCGCAGTCAATGCCCATGTCACCACAAACACCCTCTTCACCAATGGCGCCGATATTTTCTCCTCAACATCCTCAGAATTATCCGCTCCAACCTCATGCTCTTGGCCTAAATCATCAGAATAATACTATTAGTTGCTCGACTAATCAGACTGGAAGGCAACGTCAACGTCAGCTGCAGCAACAGCAACCTCAACAATATAGCAGGCCCCCTCCTAAAAGGCAGCAACAGAAGCAAGCTATGAAGGGAATTGGGAGAGGAAATAACTTGGTGAATCAGAACCTCTCTTCTGACCCTTCGCATCTGAATGGTCTCTCTATGGCTCCAGGAAGCCGGGGGGTGGAGAAAGGCGATCAGGTATTGCAGTTCGCGGAAGGTCAAGGTTTTAGGAATCCTGGGTCAACGGTAAATAATCCTGTCCGACCACCTAAATCCCAGATTCCTTCCAATCCCAATCATCCCCAGCTGCAGCAGACGCTGCTTTCTGGTCCCACATCTCCTGTGTCAAAGCAAATAAAGCAGATTCCTTCTAAGTCTGATAGTAGCTCTGCTGAGCATGTGTCATCCATTCCAAACAAGGCCATTACATCTCCACTGACAGCTTCTAACCATCTACAGGCACTGCACATACATCAACAACCCACACAAAAGCTGGTTAATCCCGTTCGACCACCGTATGCTGTCTTTCAACAAAGCCATCCAATGACATCCAAGCCATCTATTAAGTCTCAAACCAACCAAGCTCAACTTGACTGGAGACCTGTGAATAATAGTACTTCTCAGGAAAACACTGCTGCAACGGCAGCTCAAGCCTCTGTTGATTCAGCTAATGCAGCACCTGGTAAAAAGTCTCAACCATTATATGCTTCTCGTTTGTCAGCTCCACCTCCTCGTGTGGGTTTTGTTGGAAGACCACTTACTGCAAATATGGCCGGAAATAAGTCAATACCATATGTAGGCCAGAGTACAGAGCGATGTCGAGAACCAGGTAGCTTGTCTTCTCATGGTCATAGCATTGATTGCTTAGGGACACAGCTGGGGCAGAAGCAGTCACAACCTATGATGCCACCCCTCATGCCTCGGCCGTCACCCAAGCAACAGTATCAGCTGCAAGAACAGTTTCTAAAGTCTGAAGAGCAACAAGAAGCACTTCAAAAACCACTGCCAAAGTTGCCTCCTCAGCTACAAAGGCAGCATTTGCAAGCAGGGCAAGGAAATTGACATGTGATGCAAGAGAAATTTTTTTTTTCCGGAAAGCATGATGCTAGATCTTGAATTCGAATGGTCAATTCATTAGACAAAACAAGGTATTACTCCCCCAAGTGATGAATGAGCGTGTCCTTGTGACAACTCTGTACAGGTAAGTTTTACTGCAAATTTTTGACATTAGGTGATATTGGATCTTCATTGACATTTCCTTCCTTGTCTCATTCTACTTATGCATCATCCAACAGGGATTGATACTGATTTTGTGAGCATCCATGCAAATGGAGTTGGCTACTACAAAAATAGACCTTGGAAGTAAGAATGGCTAGGAGCTATGACCGTTTACTTCAAGCTATCTGAAAGGTTAATTGAAGGATTGTAGCAGATCGTTTGTTTATTGACTTTTTGGAATCATGTATAGTAACACTTCTCAGGTTTTAATCGAGAGGAGACCAGTATAGAGTTTTTTGTACAGAGGTCTCATCTCTCCTTTCCTTCTCCTCTAGGTGTTTTTTGGTTCTCTTGGCTAAGTGGACTGTTGCACGTGTAATTACCCTTTCAGATCAAGTGGGTAGCAATTACTGTCACAGGCAAAGGCTTAGAACATTGTGTGAATATAATGGTTCCTGGTGTATAGACTGATCTTCTCAATGCAGTTATTTGGCCTCACTTTTTTTCCTTAGTGGACTTATTGCCATCTCTCATTTTGTTGTCGAGTTTTGTAATGCGTGGAATATGATTGTCACGAGTAGCTTCTGTAGCTTATATTCTCTGGTGTTGAGAATTCATATGAGAACCAGGGACATCATCACGACCTCTGGTCAATGTAACTGCTTGTACTAAGATGCCATATTGATGCCTTGATTTTGTAGTTTAGTGAGTAACATAAGTTCGAAAGAACATTTTTGCTCAAAAGCTTTTACATGCTGAGCCGCAAGAGACTGTCATCAGCTTGTCTAAACATGCATGCCGCTCTGTAGACGGATTGCATTATCTGGTCTCGGTGAGACTCAGCTTCGGAGTTGAAGAGTTGTAGTTTGAAGTGACTAAAATGGCATTAGCATTCTCGAACAAGCAAGGTCTGTAGGCATGGACTCTGACCATGTTCCAACAGAGGTTTCTGGTTCCTGGAGTCTAGTGTGGTCAAATGAGAGGCTTTTGGACTTAGCTCCTCCTGACTGCTCCCATGGTAAGTGTTAAATTTCCCTGAGTAGATAGTACTATAGAAACTGATATGTCGGGAGAACTATGCAGATGAAGCTGGTTATTTAAATGGGGCATTCTAGAAGTTAAGGATGGATGCAGAAGCTATGACAGTTTGCTGCATATGTTCTGGCAAGAATGCGTGATTACGAACGCATCACTCTGCTCTTTTCCGCTTGGAATCACTTGTATTGCAATTTCAATAGTTCTTACAGAAGAGACGCAGGTGCATTTATGAATATCCTCTTCTTCGGCTCCATTCCTGCATTATTACTCTCTCTTTTTCCCCTTGTAGGCAACCGCACTTCTCGTATATTTGCCGGTAAGCACGTTAACATAGTTGTCATTTGTCATGTTCATCGGCCGGTTATTGCTGCTTCTAGTTGATTTGAAACTTTTTTGCTTAAAGCGCAAAAGCCTTGCTTCAATAAATCATCTACTTTAGTTATAGTAGGGATCATCCATCTCTTGCAGCTTTCCAGTATTTACCTCACTTTGAAATCTTTGGAAAAGCAGGGGTGCCTCGCGATCGCATGCGAACAGTTTGGTTAACGTTTGTCATGTCATCGTCGCATCTTTGTAGGAAGGATATCATGGCTTAAAATGCAACAAAAGAATGCTATCCCTCCGTTCTATCATGCACTCAAATACACGGGCTGCAGAAACCCTTTTTTGGACGCACAGGCTAAGTTCAATGAATAAGGCTGCGCATGGCAACCATTCTGTATCCGGGAACAGATTCTGCTCAGAAATGATTCTTTTTTATTCTGTGTCCGGAAACAATTTCTAAACAATTGAAGGTGTTTGGTAACTGCCTAAAATTTCTATTCTTAGAATAGAAAAAGAACGGAAATGCGTTTGGTAATCACACAAAATTTCATTTTATTAATAATATTTTAATAATATTTTGAATTTTTTAAATATTTTTTTCTTTCCCTTCTCTTCCTTGGCCAAGGCCAGTCGCCGGCGTTGGCAACCGGCCACAGGCCAGGCCGGCGAGGGCATCGCGGCCCTTGCCACCGGCGAGGTCGGCCTCGCCTTGGCTGGGTGAGGCCTTGCCGTCGCGGCCCTCGTCGACCCTGGCCTGCGGCTGGTTGCTGGCGGGTGGCGAGTGGCAGGCCGAAGAACAACAACAAACCAAAAAAAAGAAGAAAATGAAGAATAATCGAAATGGAAAATTATTCGTAATCAAGAAGCTACTTTTTTGCTTCTTTGATTCTTTCAAACCGATTCTAGGAACAATTTTTTGCAAAATTATGCCCAGGCGCAAAAAATTTAACAAACGGATTTTTGCTCCAAACGATTCGAACAAAAGAAATGTAAATTTTTATTATTTGGCAAGTTGCCAAACAAGCCCCAAGTCATTTACTAATTGTTGATGTGTATGGAAACTTAATTTCTTTTCATATGAAAAATTGCTGATGTGTCCACGGTTTATTTTCCTCACACATGTTGACTAATTACTTTGGAGGAAATACTGTTAGGGTGCGTTTGACAACCATTCTGTTAAAAAATGATTCGTTTTGATTCCGTGCTTTAGAATAGTTTCAAAGCATTTGAATGTGTTTGGTAACTGCTCAAAATTTCTATTTTTGGAATAGAAAAAGAACATAAATGCGTTTGGTAATTGCACAAATTTTCTTTTTATTAATAATATTTTAATAATATTTTGAATTTTTTAATATTTCTTTCTTTTTATGTTTCTTTTATTTTTCCTTCTTCTTTCCCTTTCTTAGCCATGGTCAGGCTCGGTGCGTGACCAACCACAAGTCGTGGCGGCGAGGGTGTCGTAAAAACCAAGAAGAAGAAGAAAAAAAATGTTCTTTTCCATCTCTGATTCTTTTTCTCATAATCAAGGAGCAACTTTTTTTTGCTTCTTGATTTTGTTCCAAAACCGATTCTGAGAATCAATTTTTGCAAAGATTTGTGGTCGAAAACAAAAATTTACCAAATAGATTTCTATTCCAAAACTGATTCCGAGAACGAAATAATAGAAATAGTCACTATTTGACCGGTTGCCAAACGCGCCCTTAATAACCACGGTAAAATTACTTCAGCATAATTACCATAGGCCGCTTCATATATCGAGTCCTACATATTATAAGAAAAAATTAACCCAAATATTTTATTACTTTTCAGATTTAATCCAGTAAGAATACTACATTTATGGAAATAACTTTCACCGGGACAAAGAAGTGAAACTTCCTCAAGACAACCCCACAAATGGAATGTCGAACATCAGCTTATCCCAAATATTAACGATCGATCGCATCGATCTACACTGAAAAACGAGTGCCTGAAATAATGACATTTTTCCTTTTTACAAGAAGAGAAAGAAAGAAGAGAGAGAGAGAGAGCAAAACAAAGTCAAGAGTGGAAGGCAAAGGCCTTGGCAATGGCGTCGAGGATCTTGCCCTGGGACTCGGCGATGAGGTCCATCCTCTTCCTCTCCAGCTCCATCCTCCACCGCTCGCTCTCCCTCACCATCTCCATCTTCACGTTCTCCATCCCCACGTACCTCTCCGCGAACCCCCTTATCTCCCCCGCTATCTCCCACACCGCCCTCCTCCTCCTCTTCCTCCTCCCTCCCTCCTCCTCCTCCTCCCCCAATTCCTCCTCCATCTGCTCCGCCGCCGCCGCCCCCCTCTTCCTCTTCGCCCCTCCCGCCGCCGGAGCCCTGGGGAACCGTTTCACCACCGCCGGCCTCCTCAGTATGTGGTTTATGCTCCTCGACTTGCTGTAATTCCCATCGTAGTCCTCGTCGCCGTCGTTGTCGCCGTCGTCGGCGGCGGCTGCTGCTTCGGCTTCGGCTTCCTCCTCCTCTTCCTCTTCCTCTTCCTCGTCCCCTCCTCCTCCGTCGACGGCCCTCCTGGCGCCGTACGGCACCACGGCGATCGGCCGCGCCGAGATCGGCATGGGCCCGCGCTCCAGCCGCACCATCAGCTCGTAGTACGGCCAGCCGGAGGCGCCGCCGGCGCCGGCGCGCTGCTGCTTCTCGGCGCGGTAGCGCTTGCGGAGCTTCTCCATCTTGTGGCGGCACTGGGTGGCGGTCTTGGAGGGCTCGGCGTAGGAGTAGCCGCAGCGGGCGGCGACGGTGACGGCGACCTCCTCCCACTGGCTGGACTTGAGCGGGCCGCGCTTCAGGGCGTACCACTTCTCCCCGTAGGCCCGGATTAGGTTGACCGTCTCCTCGTGGGTCCACGGAACGGGCTGGGGCTTCTTTCCGCCGCCGCCGCCGCCGGAGGCGGAGGAGGGGATGGGCTTGGCGTTGGGCGGGGAAGGGGAGGGGGAGGATGAGGAGTGGGAGGCCATGTTGCCGAAGTCTCCTTAGGGTTTCGAGATCGAGAAGAAGAAGAGAAGAGAAGAGAGAGATAGAAGGGTGGTTGGTTTAAATAGGGGTGGCGAGGCGGTGGTGGCGGTGGTTGAGTTCTTGGCTACCGGGGGGAGGCGATTAGGTGGGCGGGGGTGTTTTACTCTGGTTTTTAAGTGGGTGGAGGTGGTGGTGGGGCAGGGTCAGTTTCGTAAATCTCCGGGCTGGATCAGGGGCATCGTAGTCCAAGCAGTTTTTCCATTTGCCAGCTTTGGAAGGTTTCTAATTTCTCTTGATGGATCGTATTGATAGGCGAAAGCGCGTAAACTGTAAAGTAGGGGCTCATTCGATCCCCACGGATGCGTTGGATACTCTCCGATTAGTACGACATGATCCCTCCATCTCCACAGTCGAGAAAAGTATTTTATGTCAATCGGTGTTAGTAACTTTCCTTTGACCGGAGTTAGTAGGATTTGAACTTAAAGAAGCAGTGTTCTTTATTGGGATGAATATGCAAGACACACCCCATTGATAGTCGGAGAAGAGGGAAGCCAAGCGGGGTAAAGGGCGACCTCTTGCCCCGCCCCGCCCAGCCCCGCCCCGCCCCGGTCGGTTTCGAGACCTTAAATCCAAACTCACATCAAACCTTCAACCACCTCGTCGCCGTAGGGGTAACAAGAAAGAAGAAGCATTCACATTCGAGACATGTATGGCAATTGCCGGAGAGACGGGGAAGAGAAAGAAAACTTAGTATTAGTAAGTGCGACTACCCACGGAATAGCTCGACTTGCCTGAGAACTGTACAGGCGTATATACACTGCAAGAGGGGTAACGGACACACCCGACAGCTCCCCCAGCAAGCCTATACACATCACCACCGGACTTCATGAGCGACCATAGATACAAGTTCCTGACCACCAAGTTTATCAAACATGAACCCAAAGCAGAAGCCCCCAGCTTTTTACCCTTTTCGGCGATTTCTTTTGCAGTCATTACGCGCTCTCTTGCGTTTCGCAATTCGCACTCGGCAGCTACTTCTCTTCAACTTTCACCTTCACCACAGGAAAGGACAACAGGGTCAGAAATGTCCTGTAAGTTTGGCCTATCAGCAAAAGAAACCAGCAAAGAGGATTAATATGCTACGATGTGTGCGAACATTCTTTGTGGTCTGGAAAAGTACCCTGTCTAATATAAATTTACAGGAGAGTTCATAACTAACGACTTAAGCCCGTGTTACTATACTCCCTCTTTAGGTCAGCTGATTGATCACAGTGATTTGGCATTTTGCAACATCGTAAAGAATGCAGCTGATAGACAAACAAAATGAAAGCAAAAACACGCATCACACTGCAATACCTAATTGATGTTTATATCAATTTCACATGCCGAGGAGTGAATTGTGCTCCACAAAACTTAGATTACGGACATCAGTTGAACATTAAATGGGAATACCTCAGATGATACATTGGGTAAGGAAGCATGCCGCATGGGCCCCCTTAGCCGTTGAATTTCCTGAAGCTGATGTTGTATATCGTCTAACAATTCCAACTGGTTTGTCTCTCCTTCCCTGTTTTTTCCAGATACTCTCAACTTATCCTTTCCCTCTTGAACAATTCGTAACATCTCTCTGAGCAATTCAACTTCAATGTCAAGCTTTAATCTTTCATAATTAACTGCCGACAAGGAACCCCTTTCAGAATCATGTATCATTGGTCTACTCCATGAGTTAACCAACAATTCTACTATGCCGTCGATATTAGTATCGCTGATATGACCATTCTGCCCCATTTCTTCCTCATTTGAGCCATTTTTCGGTTGTTCTGTTTTATCATCAACCACATGAACATCATGAACTATCTGTTGCGTGTCATGCACAGTTTCTCGAAGGTTGCCACATTCTTTATCTCCATTTTCCCTATACTCCTCCACCCCATCTCCATCACAAGAGAAACATCTCTTCATACTCGTACAATACTGGGTTGGCTCCATTATGTAATCATGAATAACTCCACCATTGTTGATCTCTGGTAAAATAGACTGTACACACTCGCCTGGGTGAAGCACAGGACGGCTTTTCCCTTGGCTATCCTTGCTGTCTTGCACATGATCATCCCTGTTTTTATCTCCAGGAGAAATTTGTCTTAATGCTTCAACTTCATTCTCCAAGAAAAAATTCTCCCTCTCCCTCCTAATTAGGATCTCTTTGAGAATGTTCATTTCCTCTTCGTCATAGGTAAACTTCTCTTCCATCATCCTCTCATTCTGCCTAACTTCCATTTCTATTGATGCTTTCTCTTCTTGCAGGCGAAATATCATGGCCATAGCTTCATCAGCAGCAGTGGCAGAAGCAGCTCTCTCTTTCTCCAATTCCAGGTAAAGTGCAGCACGAGCGGCTTTCTCTTCAGCAAGTGCTTGTTCTAGCATTCTGATCCTACTTGATTCGGTTCTATAAATTCCTTGCGTGTCTGGTACATCAGTGATGTAATTGTCAATAGAAGATGAATCCAAATTCGCAGCTTTGCTCCCATCGAAGGATCCAGTCAGCTCATAGCTATGCCACGTTCTTTCACCCTCAGCAACATCGATGGGTTTTTTGTCATCTATAATTGGCAAGACCAGAAAATCAGCACGCTTTTTACTGCAGCGTTTGCATACAGCTCCAAATCAGACATTCATACTTTTTAAATTTCTAGTGAAATCTCATCGCAGATTGCAATGACTCAAGCAAAATTTAGGAATGGGTTTGATCTACCTACCACACAGCATCATTGTCCATATTGTTGATAATAGATTCATAAATAAAGGAAAAAACCTAGCCCAGATACGATAGAAAACTTATCAGGATTTCTGCATATGATGCAAAAACTGAGAAAACTACGGACAAAGGTAGACACGCAAGACTAAATCACAAAGTACACTCACCCAGTATCCGACCATTAATCCTGCTCACAAGAGCCAAACTTTCTGCGATTTGGCTTCTCATTTCTCCATTACCAGGAAGGTAGGGGCAAACATCACCAACCGCTGACTTCAAATTGTTAGGCCTGAATTTCCCGGATCCAATAACAGCTCTGCTTCTTCTTCTCCGAATTCCAAGGCCAGACCTTTGCTTCTGACCCACAACAACACCCTTTCCTTTAACATCATGCGCAATCTCTCCGTCATTCAAATTCTGCGAAACCACCCCCGATAAAGAACTACAAAGCTTTTCGCCGCTCAATTCAGTAACGCCATTCTCAACTTTCTTGTCTCTGACTAACTTCAAGTCTGAATTACGTGACTCGTCCTCAGAAACAACAGAGCCAAAAGGGAATCTACTCCTCACCAAGCTCTGAACAGAGTAGATCTTCCTTATGGGTATTTCAACAAGCAGCTTGTGCCAGCAGATGCTACTACTTCGAAACCCTAATACACCCTCACATGGACAAAGAAGATGGATCCCGAAAGTACTCGAGAATGTTGAAGCAGGATATACAAACGCCGATATACACAGCAGGAAATAAGCAAGAGCAAGATCAAGAAACGCCCCAATAAGACCAACCAAAGTCCAAGAACAGACTCCGCGAGAAACCATCTTCCACACAAGATTCAGAGACCCCAGAACTTTGCTCAAGATAATAACTTTCCCATGAAAATGAAAATCAGCAGAGAATATCACCCACCAAGAATCTTGGGTGGAAATTAAGAAAAGAGCAAAACGAGGAGCTAAAAAAGAAGGATTTCAGACTTGGATCTTCGTCGTCGTCGTCAGCAATCATTCTTCGCGAGTAAGCAAATTGTTAGCTGATCCGAACGAAGCTCACGTGGGGCCTACGGAATTTAAAAGAGAAGAGGAGAGAAGTGAACAGATGTTTGATGAGGCCTTGTGTGTTTTTGTTTTTGCATGGCCCCTTTGTGTAATTATGTCGACTGCCAGACAAGGTAAGATTATAGTGAAACCAATGGAATCTCTCTCTCTCTTCCATATTCACTCGTTTCTTTTACACAAGAGTTGCCGTGAGAAGAAGATAGAATTAGGGAAAATTTTGCCTCTTGCCAAGTCAGCAAGGGTCAGTACGTTCACTTAAATATCTCTATGTGTACAAGGGGTAAGCGATTCCCGGTCCGATCCGATCCGGTCCAATCGAAGAATTAGGAACCGGACCGGGAGGACCGGTTCCCAGTTTCTAGGATCGGGGACCGGACCATCGGTCCAGTCCGGTCCGGTTCCAATGGGACCAATCACTTATTGATAAATGCAAGAGGGAATTGAGGAAATTAGATTATGCTTTTTATTTTTTTCAAAAATTTTAAAAAGTAAATAAATATATATATGAAAAAATTAGAAAAATATATATTATCAATCAGGTCCGGTCGGTCCGGTTCGGTTTGATTCCCACCCTAGAATTGGGAACCGGACCGCCTGAAAATCGGTTCCACTTTTAAGAACCGGGAACCGAACCGATATTCTCGAAAACCGGAACAAACCGGTCAGTTCGGTCCGATCCCGGTTTGGGCAGTCCATCTTGTTCATCCCTAATGTGTACAATAGGGGACCTATCTTGCAGAAATTTTTTAAACTCCCTCTTTTCCCTCTCTCCGTTACTTTTCCATTATCTACCCTGGATACTCTCTGCTCTCCCTCCCTCTCTCTCCCGATCGAGAAAACTTCTATTTACTTCAACCATCCGAGAACCGATTATAATCTCTAACTTGTTTCAGCAACCCTTGCTTTATGTTCAACCCTGGAGCAACTCTCGGAATCCCAAATAAGCTTTTGCAAGGGACGGACTCCAGACTACAGAGCAAATTGACAGCCGTTTCCATTAGGGGTGAGCAACTTGGACCGCCCAAATCGGGACCGGACCGGACCAGACCGAAGGGTTTGGTCCGGTTCTCGGGACTATCGGTCCGGTTCCCGGTTCCTAAAAGCGGAACCGGTTTCCGGGTAGTCCGGTTCCCGGTTCCAAGGGGGAACCGGACTGGACCGGATCGAACCAACTGGACCGGTCTGATTATTTAATATATATTTTTGTTATTTTTTTTAAAAAAAATTAATAAAATGTGAACTAAACTCTAAGGCTGCGTATAGCAACCATTCTGCCCTGAGGAGCAGTTCGGTAGAAATGATTCTTTTTATTCGTGCCTGGAAGCGATTCGAGCATTTGAAGGCATTTAATAACGGCCCAAAATTTCTATTCCTGAAATAGTAAAAGAACAAAAATGCGTTTGGTAACGGCATAAAATTTCTTTTTATTAATAATATTTTAATAACATTTTAAATATTTTAATATTTCTTTCTTTTCTTTTTTTCTTCTCCTCCTTCTTGGCCATGGCTGGTAAAATATTTTTTAATTAATAATACTTTTATTAAAAATAATTTTTTTATTTTTTTTTGCCATGGTCGGTAAAAAATTTTCTTATAAATAATTTTTTTATTAATAATTTTTTAAAAATATTTTACTATATTTTTTTTTCGCCATTGCCTGGTCGCTGGCCATGGCCGGTAAAATATTTTTTTTATAAATATTTTTTTATTAATAATATTTTAATAAAAAAATTTATTGAAATTATTTTTTTTATTTTTTTTTGCCATGGCCTGGTCGCTGGCCATGGCCGGTAAAATATTTTTATTGAAATTTTTTTTTTATTTTTTTTCGCCATGGCTTGGTCGCTGGACCATGGCCGGTAAAAATTTTTTTATTAATAATATTTTTTTTTATTTTTTTCGCCATGGCCTGGTCGCTGGCCATGGCCGGTAAAATTTTTTTTTATTAATAATATTTTTTAAAATTTTTTCGCCATGGCTTGGTCGTTGGCCATGGCCTGTAAAATTTGTGCCCAGAATCAGTTTTGGAGCAGAATGAAGAATAAAAAAAAAGTAGCTTCTTGATTCTGGAAACAAAAGTGAGAATCAGTTTTTTTTTTCTTCTTCTTTTTCTTAGTTTTTAATATAGCTTCTAATGTCCGGCACGAGGGCCACCCTCGTCGTATTTGGCGAGATTAAAATATTTTAATAAAAAAATATTATTAATAAAAAAATTTTACCGGCCATGGCAAAAAAAATTTTAAAAATATTGTTAATAAAAAAAAATTTTACCGGCCATGGCGAAAAAAAATAAAAAAATATTATTAATAAAAAAATTTTACCGGCCATGGCAAAAAAAATAAAAAAATATTTTCAATAAAAATATTTTTTATTAAAATATTATTAATAAAAAAATATTTATAAAAAAATATTTTACCGGCCATGGCCAGCGACCAGGCCATGGCAAAAAAAAATAAAAAAAATAATTTCAATAAAAATATTTTTTTATTAAAATATTATTAATAAAAAAATATTTATAAAAAAAATATTTTACCGGCCATGGCCAGCGACCAAGTCATGGCGAAAAAAAAAATATAGTAAAATATTTTTAAAAAAATTATTAATAAAAAATTATTTATAAGAAAATTTTTTACCGGCCATGGCCAAAAAAAATAAAAAAATTATTTTTAATAAAAGTATTATTAATTAAAAAATATTTTACCGGCCATGGCCAAGAAGGAGGAGAAGAAAAAAAGAAAAGAAAGAAATATTAAAATATTTAAAATATCATTAAAATATTATTAATAAAAAGAAATTTTATGCCGTTACCAAACGCATTTCTGTTCTTTTACTATTTCAGGAATAGAAATTTTGGGCCGTTACCAAACGCCTTCAAATGCTCAGAATCAGTTCCCGGGCACAGAATAAAAAAGAATCATTTCTGACCAGAATCTGTTCCCGGGCACAGAATGGTTGCCATGCGCAGCCTAAGTGAACTTCATTATCATAAATTCATTGATAAAAATTAGTAAAATATGAATTAAACCGTAAGTGAACTTCATTGACATATATTCATTGACAAAAATTAGTAAAATGTGAACCAAACCTTAAGTGTTTAACCAAAAAAAAAAAAACTAAACTCTAAGTGACCGGTTCCATTGGACCTGACCGGACCGGCGGTCTAGTTCGGTTCCCGGTCCTAGAACCAACCGGTCCGGTCCGCGGTTCCCAAAATTGGGAACCGGTTCTCTCGGTCCGGTTCCTGGTTCCACCTTGAAACCGGATCGGACCGGGAACCGATCACCTCTAGTTTCCATGATTTTGCACTACCGTTGAGACACGACAGAGTGGAATTTGGATTTCTAATAAAACAAGAGGAACTTGCTAATTGTACGGGGGTTAATTCCAAAAAAAAAGCACCAACTTTAGGTCGAGGGACAATTCTGGCCCGAACTTTTTTTTGTTCCATAAAAAAGCACCAACTTTAGGTCGAGGGATAATTCTGGCCCGAGCTTTTTTTTGTCCCGTAAAAAAGCACCAACTTTAGGTCGAGGGACAATTCTGGCCCAAACTTTTTTTGTCTCGTAAAAAAGCACCAACTTTCATTTAAATCCCAAATTTGGCCCCCCATTGATTTTCTGTCTGAAGTTACCCTTGTTTGAGAAAAAAAGTTATGGTGGTGAGCCTGGCGAATCTCTTCCATGGCGTCTGTCGACAGGCGGTGGTCTACAGCTTCAGATTACGACAAAACGACGAAGTTTGGCCAGAAAGATTCAATCTGGAGATATTTTTGACTTGCCGGTGAAGTGAAGAAGACGAACAGTTTCACCGTTATTCTTCAAGCTGTGGTTTAGAGAATAAGACAATGAATAATGCTTTAAATCCAGTCAGCAAGTCACGTGGATTTATTGCTAAAGTAAAATAGTCAAGTTGGAAAATCAATGGTTTTATGTCAATAAGGGCCAGATTTGGGATTTAAGTGAAAGTTGGTGCTTTTTTACGAGACAAAAAAAAGTTCAGGCCATAATTGTCCCTTGACCTAAAGTTGGTGCATTTTTACGGGACAAAAAAAAGTTTGGGCCAGAATTGTCCCTCGACCTAAAGTTGATACTTTTTTATGGAACAAAAAAAAGTTCGGGCCAGAATTATCTCTCGACCTAAAGTTGGTGCTTTTTTTTTTAATTAACCCAATTGTACGGTGTTTGACTTTTTGCTTAATCATGGACCCGACCATCATTTCAAGCAAAACTCACTTGTGTGATTAAGAGATCTTCAAACCACCATGTCTACGGGAGAAGCTGTTTTTCAAACTCTCCATGCTCTTCGTGTCGCACAACAACCGAACTCCGAAAGACGAAGTTTTCGCGGTCGGGAGGGAGGGCCGAGAGTGTTAGTACAGGAGGAGATAATGAAAAAGTAATGGAGAGAGAGGGGAGAGAGGGAGTTTCAAAATTTCTGCAAGTTGGGATCCGTATGATACACAGGACGAGATTTGAGTTAAATGATTTTTTGCTGACTTGGCAAGCCTGGCCTATGCAATATTTTCTCAGACAAGCACAAAGTTGACGATGGAATCACACAATTAAAATTTAAATGAGATAAGAACAACACAAGTGTCATAATTTTTGTACGACGCTCACTTGAGCGTCATAATTTTTTTTTATAGCTCACTTGAGTACCTATTCCGGCGATTTGTCCTACATGACATTTTAACTTAAATTTTCCTTCCGATGTGGCTTTTTAAAAACAAATTGAAGTCCAATGTGAAAATTCTTCGTCCAACATGGCAATGGTAACAAAAACGCAGTCTTTTTTCTTTCTCTCTCTAAATGCTTCCTCCACAAAAACAACGGCCCCTCTCTCTATATCTATCTATCTATCCATCTATGCTTCATCTCTTAAACTCGTAAACTACATAGATTTGCAAGAATGTATTGGTGCTGAGCTCTTTGGTGGGGAGGAAGAGGAGGAGTAGGGTTGTGACGCCCCAGAACGTCACGCGCGACACGTACCAATTAGTATTATTAATAAATTGACCAGCAGAAAACAAAGCCTAGACATGAATATCACATAAATTTAGTCAAAATATTTTTTTCTTCTCATTAATAAACCCTTGTCAGATTTACAACTCAGACAAAGCATTAAACAAGTACAAAAAACAAAAACTGGGTAGGTCAGGGTTGCCTATCTCCAACTAGAACCTTCATCCAAAAGTCTGCCTAAAGTCCGAAGCTGTCACGGGTCGATCACTTCACCCTCCGCTGCGGAACCACCATCGTCTAGGTCAAAGCCCCTCAACGGGCCAATCAACTCGCCCTCCAAGTTGAAATACCAAGCAACAAAAAGATAAGAAACCCATTCCGGAAGCCCCACATCAACCCATATCGTAGAACTACACTTAGTATATACAGCGTCAAGCTCCGGCGCAAACACATCCTCATAAACAGCATCAAAATGAACAGGAACTCCAAAACGTAGGGGCTGTGGAACATCCATCCTACATATCTGAAAAAATGATGGAATGAGCCGAAGCCCAGCAAATGAAATCTCTAGTTTTAAGTTAGGAAAATCAGCTTACCACTACCCCTGGCCTGAACACATACGCATGCATAGCAAACGATACGCATAGAACTTGAATGCAAGTTATACCTTTTCCGTCTGGATGTGCCGCAAAATCTGAATAATGCAACATACCATGATATTTTCACTTACCGCAAGCATGATGTAAAACATTTATGCTCATTCGATTAGATTCATTACTTCATCCTCCCGAACACTCCCGGGGCATCCCGACCAACGGGGCATCCCAACTCCGAGGCATCCCGGCACACACCCGGGGCATCCCGACCAACGAGGCATCTCGACTCCCGAGGCATCCCGAAACACTCCCCGGGGCATCCCGACCAACGGGGCATCCCGACACACGGGGCATCATCACACACCACTAAATGGGCGACGGAATTAATATTATTCCCATGCAAGTCATGACAACCAAGTATTTGTATGCAAAAGTCCGCTTTGGCCCGTCCCATACCGAGCCATCACGGTTTTTGTACTTTAAAGCCATGAAATGCATCATCCGAGCAATTTAAACATGAAACAATACATTTCAAACTCAGTAGCAACTCAGCTCATAAGCAATTTGGGGTTCAGAAGCAAATTCGAGTCATCAGAAGCAAGTTCAGACTCAGGAACAGATTCAGACTCAGAAGCGGATTCAGACTCAGAAGTAAATTCAGACTCAGAACCTAATTCAGACTCAAAAGTAAATTCAGACTCAGAGGCGGGTTCAGACTCAGAAGTAAATTCAGACTCAGAACCTAATTCAGACTCAAAAGTAGGTTCTGAACAATAAAGTCTGAATCAATTTTATAAGTAAGTCTGAACAGTAACCTAAACAGTAATTATGAACAGTAAAATCTGAATAGTAAATCCGAACAAGTAAAATCGATGAACAAGAAAATCCGAATAGTAAGTATGAACGGTAAAACTGAAGGACAAAGTCTAAGCAATTTTAAAAGTAGAGTCTGAACTGCAAAGTCTGGATGTTAAATCTGAAGGTAAAGTCTGAAAGTAAAGTCTGAAGGTAAAGTATGAAGTTAAAGTCTGAAAGTAAAATCTGAATATTTTTCAAAAGTGGACAGAACCAGATTTTGATAGCAAAGTCTGAGCAGGTTCAAAAGTACACAGAACCAGATTTTGATAACAAAGTCTTAGCAGTTTCAAGGTACACAAAACCAAATTTTGAGGATTAAAAATCTGCCCAGTTTCAAAAATAAACAAAAACATCCCTTGGAGAATCAAATAAACATCATCAGCACTTTGAGTATCACAATAAACATAATCATCACTTTGAGTAAAACGATTTTCTACCCTTTTTAAACATACATAAACCAATAGTAAGAACCCAACAATCACCTCAAAATTTACACTTACTCATTCCGATTTAATCGTTCCGCTTGCCGATATTATCGCCATACTTTAAGGAAACAAATCACATCCATTTGAACTTGCACAGAACCAGCAAAACAGATTCAACCATCATCACAACCTCACTATTGCACCTCAAAATAACCTTTCTCAAGCAACCAAGTTGCAAGTGCCAAGTAGATTTACTTAGCTTAAACCTAGAATTTTCACTTACCTTGAACAGAATCTGAACACCCCAAAGGTTAAAACTCTTCCGGAAATTTTGGATCGGTGATGGCGAGAGTAGAAAGTGAAGGAGAGAGTATGGGTTTGGGTGAAAATGATCTTCGGTAATTACCCAGGCGAAAGTGAAAACAGAGAGGTATTCGAAGGGGTGGGTAAATTCATTGTATTCACAGGTGGCATCTTATCTCTTCATCAAGGCCAGGTGGAAGAAATCAGCAGCTTAATCGTAGGAGTATTGGCCAAGGGAAATGATTACCCAAGGCTTAGGTGTCTAGCCCAAGGGGACAAATGGCATTCGGTCAACTCTTCTTCAACAGCCACGTGAGGGAAATAAGAGTCCAGAGGATATTTTTGAGCAGATTTCTTCCCTCTTTTTCTTACGGCAATAACCTTACTTAACTAAGATAAAACAATAATAATAATAATAATGCCCACTAATTACCAAGACGACGGTAATCTAATTAATACCGCACTACGATTAACGCACACGACAACGTCTAAATATGAAACACGTCGGACTCGGTACGATTACGTTTCCGAATCCGCGCTTCGCGAAATACGATCCAACGAAAATTCCTACGCGTCCACACGAATACTAACTCGAAAATAATACTTAGCTTTAAATCTAAGTATCATTTTCAAACATAGAAATTTCTAACGTCACAAACATATGATCACGAAATTTCCGGATGTCACAAGGGTTCTTAATTTGGAGACGTTCTTGTTTATCTTCTTGTTGTCACTCTTGATCTTGTTTTGGGTCCTTCTTTGACTTCGTTCTCGCTTTCTTCTTCGTCGTCGGCGTCTTTGGAGAGGGAGCTTTGCAAATTTGATAAGGTGATTTGCCCAATTTGAAGAATTAGGGCTAGGGTTTGTTCATGAATGAAATTGAATGTTGCCCCACTTTGATTAGATTGGATTGGGGTTCTTCAATCAGATCACTGAATAACATCGTTTGCCTTCTCACTTGTTGATTTCATCTTGTCGACAAACCACGTCGGATGCTATATAAATTTAAGCCATGTCGGATTTTTCGGCGAGATAAATCGCCAATGGCACTCAAGTGAACGATTTTTCATAAATATGGCACTGAAGTGAGTGAAAACATAGTTATAATTCTCAAGTAGGGGTCGTACGAAAATTATGACATTTTCATTATTTTTATCCCAATTTAAATTAGAATCTGTTGAGGCCCAATTAATGACGTGCCAAACTTGTTTCAAATATTTAACAACTGAGCTCCACTTTGCGTCCTTCTTATGTTGACAACTTGGTGTCGGTTATTTCGTGATCGAGATGGAGCTAAAGAGTTGACCAAATGCCACATTGTGCCACATTGACATCTTGAACGATGGAGCAAAGAAAGGAATTGAAAAAATGTTAAAAAAAATACGGTTCCCAGTTCCTTTCTCTCTTCATCTTCCCCCGTTTGAACGCAACTCTACGTCTATGGCCATCAAGGTTGTTGCCTCCCGCTCCGACGAGTCGCGATCCCCTCGGCGTTTAGAATGACTGATCTAGGCTCCAGCAAAGGGCGTGACCCGATTCCATATCCAAGTCATCAACAGTAACATTAACGAATGAATTCTGTTGTGATCATCATACCTTGCAGGCTGAGCGTGCAGGTTACATTTACATAGAATCATATGTAGGTTATTCCTAAAAATGGCAGAGAACCGTCGATATGTCCGAGTGGTCAAGGAGACAGACTTGAAATCTGTTGGGCTTCGCCCGCGCAGGTTCGAACCCTGCTGTCGACGTTATCATCCCTCCTTTTCCCTCCGAGTTTAACTGTTTTATAAAATAATATGAGAGGGAAGAAAACGGTGGCGGGGGTTGTTGAAGGAAAGCGCCATCCCACCCTCTCCAACCTCCGACCTTCCTTCCCATCAAATCTTGATCTGCTGCTGCTCATCGGCTCTCTCTCTGTTTCTCTCTCTGTCTCTTCTTCGATTCAGTCCAAAGCTCACATTGATTTGCTCGCTCCTTCATCAAAGGAATCACACCTTGCGAGTCGGCAAAACCCCGGTCGTCGGTTTCGTCTCGCTCTCTCTCTCTCTCGCTTTCTCCTCCCGCTGTTTCGGGCGAGATTCGTGCATGGGTTCAGAGATCAAGGTCTTCACCTTGGCCGAGGTGTCGGAGCACGGCAGCCCCGAGGACTGTTGGCTTGTCATCGAGGGCAAGGTCTGGTTCGTTCGTTCACGCGTCTCCAAAGTGAATGCGGTTTCTTTTCTTTTGCTCGTCCCTCTTGAAAAGTCTCGATTTTGCTTGATATGGACGATGGCCAGCTTACTGGTTTGTATCTGATCGGTCTGTATGCGAGTTTGATGTATGTGCGTACAGATTGGTGTAATTATTCGGTTTCAAGTAGTCGTGTCATTGCTGTGTATTGGATTTGAGATACGTTCCGAGTGAAACTGCCTATATGAGTGAGTGAGTTCGTATCTCGTGTGGAACGCCTCGTGTACTTTGACATTTTTCTTAGCTGCTTTGTCTTATTTCTGAATGATTTTTTCTTCCCTCGAGACTGCCTACCTAAAACTAAATCTCACCCGCCAATCACCTCTAGACTAGGTAAGACACGAGCCAAAGCTCGGTTGGGTTGCCTAAATTTGAGACTCTTTGCACTTGACTGTATAGGAAGCCCGATTCACATACGTGCGCGAGAAAGAACATTAGCCATCAGATTCAACTATCGTGGTTTCTATCAAAGTAAGATGTTTCATGTTATTGTCTTTTATGTTAATTCCCCGCTCCCGCATACTTATTCACTTGAAAGGTGTAACCCTGTTTAAAACCGCCTCAAACAGAACTGTGTAATGTACAACTTAGATACATCACGATATTGCCTCTTTAGCTACCCGTGCGGAAATCAGGTTATACAAAGCAACTGAAAGCTGCTGTTCTGTGTCTATTTTGGGCTGTCTTTTTAGGGGAATATTCACAAAGCAATTGAATGTATGTACGGTGATCAATATAGTTTTTGGGAGGGGAATAGAAGTTGAGGGTGCATATGTACTTGTGTTAAAATTATTTCTTATTCTCTGCTAAGTTGTAGCATTATCTATATAGGCTTTATTTGCAAGCTGGGCGGTAGATTTCATATGATGGTCTTGACTCATAATCTGTATTAGGCGCTTATCCTTGGCACTTCGGCTGCACAATTTTCTGGCTTTGTAATTGGGAAGCATCAACTATCTGGTCATTTCCCATTAATCATCGTTTTTATCTTTTGTGTTGCTCAATATATATATTCCACCACTCTTTAACATCCACCTTTAACTGTTGAGTTTTGGCTTTTCAAAATGTCTATAAGTTGCACTCACTTTAGGAGACTCGTGTTTTGAACGCGGACCTTAGGAGCTGCTGAAACATTACAAGGTAGTAAATACGAGGCTCCATTAGGTAAAATACTAAATGAAGAATTAGCTTGGACAGCATTCTTTCACTGCCTGGCTGGATTAAGTTTATTCAGTATGAGTCTATTTCAACATTCTTTAGGGCATGAGATTGAAAACCCTACTGCAACTTACTTTGTGGGTTTGGTTTTGTGCTATTTTGCTTTGATTTAGTCCACCATGTGCAATCTTTGAATGAATCATCATCAGAGTGCCACAAAGTGGTTTTGCTGTTTGAAGTATCACCATTGCTGGTTTTCTCACTCTATTTCGGTGGAGCATCAAATGAAACTTATTTTCACAAATTTAAATTGTCAGAACAGGTGTATGACGTGACTAAATTTTTGGAGGACCATCCTGGTGGTGATGAAGTGTTGCTGTCCGCCACAGGTATCTGTTATGTGTAAGAAGGCTTTGAATCAAAATTTTGTTCGACCTAGTGATAATTATGTTCTCGAGTTATTAACTACCGTGCCATTTACTGGTTATTATATGTGGATGATTGTAGGGAAGGATGCCACTGATGATTTCGTGGATGTTGGACATAGTAGCACCGCTAGAGCAATGATGGATGAGTTCTATGTCGGTGAGATTGATACATCAACTGTTCCCACCAAGACCGAATACACTCTGCCTAAGCAGCCTCACTACAACCAGGACAAAACTCTCGAGTTCATCATAAAGCTTCTTCAATTTCTAGTCCCTCTCCTAATATTGAGTTTGGCTGTCGGCGTCCGTTTCTATACAAATTCAACTTAATGTTTGAGAGCTCTTGAAGGAAGTTGTACTTTAAGAATAAGTGATATTGATCATCATTCCTTCCTTAAATTTTCCCTTTCTTTGATGGTCATGGTTGTGATTTAAAGTCCTCGATTCCCTCTCTGCAGGTTCTTTCTAAAGGATCAGTGTTTCTTGCTTTTGCTGTTGAGTATTGTATTGCAATGAAGAACTGTATTTTCCTCATCTTTCGCTGCTTCATCATGTTTTGTCTTAACTTAAATTCCCCGTGTACAACTCAGTAATGGGCCCTGTTCCTTCGATGCAGTCCTCTGAACCTTTTTCCAGATATTTGGCCTTTTTAGAGCTATTAATTTTGCCTAGGCTTAATTCAATGGATAGTATGGGCGTCTTGTAATCTTTTCTGGGCTCGACACGAATGGTGGATCTTTGCGCAGCTCGTTGAGACCGGTGTCAGAAGTTATTTGGGATCATCTCTGGTTAATTGTTATTGCCGGTCTGATCCATCCTTTTGCATGGTTCGAGATCTTTTTTGTTATGTCTAGCACAATGTCTCTTCTGCCCATTTAAGGCAATGGGAATCGCAACTTTAGGAAGTGACAGGTTAGTCTGGTGCCGTTGTGCGGGCTTGCGCATAAGGAAGGAAGGCGGGACTTCGGCTGTATCGATGTTGATCGCATTAATTCTTCTGTTTTGGGAGATTTATGAGCATACGGTTTTCATGTTTTTCTAAGCTGTGGGACTCGACATGGGACCAAAAAGGGACTCTTGTGGAGCAGACATTTTTCTCATGGCATGTTTAAGTAGTTTCCTTCCATTGTTCAACATTTTAAGGCAAGAAAGTTTGTCTGAGAGTTATAAGTCTCTTCCATTGCTTCTCTTCCCTGTAACTTAAATTTCGGTCCTCTTACTTATTTCCCCCCTTTTCAGTTAGAAAAGGTCTTGCAAAAGCTATGCTTCTTTCACTCTTCTTTGCTGGGCCTGAAGTGCTAAAACTGTAGTCAAAATGTTCAATTAACCTACAAATTCCTTGGAAAACATCTCGAATTGATTATATCGTTTGCTTCCAATTGCAAGTGCCCCAGACATTTTGGCTAATCTGTGGCCTTCATTGACTTGGTATATGGATATCTGTAAACTGTAAAGAGCAATATCTTCAAGGACTTCACCGCAGACGGAGAGAGTGTAAAAAAGGTGTGCATGATTTACGTTCCGTTTATGTTACAAAAAAGTTTCTATTTTGGGTCAATTTTCAATTTCACGCTTAAAAAAAAAAGGTCCACTTTCTTAGTCCCATCAAAGGCAAACCATCCATACTAGGATTAGGGGATTCACGAGAAATTACTTTCTTGTATTCTTGTTCGAAGTAGTTGGTCGAGTAAGAACCGAATCTGTAATCTCACTTTTCTTGAGGCACGAGATCTCTTTCGCTGCGCCAGTCACATCAATGGCTGTCGTTCTAACCAAATTACGCAGGACTTAGAGCAGGGCAAATTTAATCTCTCTCGACTTTCTTGCCAAACTCAAGGTAATAGCTATCAACTGAAAATACCAGACAAAACTAGCGGAGCCAAGCTGCCAAATGCTAGCAATTGTTGCAGATCATGTCATTGTCGTTTAAAAATAGATGGAAGAAAGTCATCCTGTGAATTTCCCCTCTAGCAGCCATTACTAGAACGATATTGTACAGCTGAACACTTCCATGCAAGACAGAAAACGTGCTAACTTTGGCAAATTATCTAAGACTAAATGCATTTAAACAGGATCAATCTGTTTTAACCTCTCGGAAAGGTTCTTATACAATATTTTAAGGAGGGAAAAAAGAAATTGACATAATCTCGTTGACTAAAAGTCCACAATGAACAAGAGAAGTCAATGTGAAGCACGTTGTCTGAAACGAAATCTGTCTTCGGTGGTTGTTTTCTATGCTGTGCCTGTTACAGCTCATTGCTTGTTTAGAAGCTTGCGCTGAGTTTCCACCCTTTCGGATAATTTAGAGTTTTGGTTGTTTCATTTTTTTGGCCTTTGATGAACTTTCTGGGCAACTCTCATTTTGGCTTGTCATTGATATTGTCCAAGAGCAAAAGAGAGAACCTTTGTTTGGCTCTTTCCCTGAAATTTCCAGGAAGGGCAACATGCGAAATTGGGAACTTCAAGTGATTATCCCTCCATTCTCTCTCATACCCACAAGGCCAGAGCCAAAGCTTTTTGGCAGAAACAAGGCAAAAGACAATGGACGATTGCTGCAATCTGGATGGTCTAGTTTGAATTTGATGAAATGTATGAATATATGGCACACTGGTTGTCTGCTTTTCATGTGTATGCACTGGAAAGGATAAGAGATAATTCTCTTGCAAAAGACAATGAATCTGACACACATGCCTATCTAATCGCCCTGAAAAGAGTCAAGATCCTTCTAAGAGGATGACTCTGGAATCTCCGTACGATGCCACGTATTCAAAAGATAAAAAAGCTGACAAAAAAAAATGATTAGTTGATAAGAACAAGCAGTAATGCTTCTCATAGACGCTCCTCTTGAACTCTCCTCCAGATTTTGTCACATTGTGCAGCGATATGACATATAAGAAGCAGAATTAGGACTCCGCCTTAATCTCCCTCCTCACTTCATCTTCATCAAGCCGCTAAAAGGAACAATTCCATGGGAGCATCAAGAAAGGACAAAGGTGTTCTGAAGTTGGTACACCCGGGCAGATTCGTGGAGACACTTAGAGAGCCAATCACAGCGGCGGAGGTCATGCAGAAGAATCCCAGGCACAGCGTCACTCGGCCCGATGTGTTTTATTTCCCTTGGGTCGTGGTCAAGCCCGAGTCCCTTCTGACTCCAGGAGAGGTGTTCTTCATCGTTCCTAACCGGACGATCCATCAGCTATTGAAAGGCAAAAGCAGCCATTACTGTATTCCTTCTTCGCAACAAATGGATCATCCCCGCCTCCAGGACCATCAGCAATTTGAGCTAGCTTTTCCTCTCAAGGAATGTGCTGGGATGACGCCTAAGCACCGGAACCAAGAAAGTTTTCCCAAGAGACTAATTCAGACCCTGTATCGTAGAAAGTCGAATCATTCCGAGGATTTGAAAATGGAATTCCCCAATAGGTGTAGGACAGAGTGTAGGACCGAGGGAATTCCCCGGTATGAAGATGACCAACAAGAATCTGAAAGACTATCTCAAGGAGATTCCACATTCGAAAAGAAAAGTTTTACCAAGAGATTATTTCAGACCATGTATTGTAGAAAGTCGTATAATGACAAGGATTTGAAAACGGAATCCCACAGTACGTATAGGACACAGCTTAGGACCGACGGAATTCCCCAGTATGTAGAAGACCAACAAGAAACTGAAAGACTATCTCCAGGAGATTTTACATTCGAAAAGACATGCTCCAAAGCCATAGATTTCTACTTGGGAAGCAGGAATATGAGCACAGAATTGCTAGAAAAAGATGCTGCAGTTGAATTAAACTGCCAGAAATACGGTATAGTGCTGAAATCATGTCTTAGGAAACCGGATAGTGCTCGTAAATCACTAAACCTTAAAGTGGCATTTGTCTTGCCAAACAGAGATGATGAAGCGGATGCTTCAGTTTCTTGAGCAGAATCCGGCAGGTTATTTAGTGGACTAGAACACCGATCTCACGTCTGCAATTTGTTCCCCACTCAGCCGTGGTCGAGATTCTTCGCAATTCCTCGTGATGGGCAGGGCTCTCTGGAATATACTGTTCTTTTAGTTTTGGTTTGTTTTGTTTTCAGTTTCCTTCTGGTGAATTTGTCCAGCACTGGGAAATATGATGCCGGATTGTCTTCATACAAATAACTCCATTTGGTCATTGATGTTATTGCATACAATAACACCTCGCCCTCAGCGATTTCATATACGTAACTTACTGCATCCTGTATTGTTCTTCACATGAAGATCAATCAGATTCAATGTATTCACCATCAAAGTAAATTCATTTAGCGGCATTCACATTCAAGAACAACTCTATCTACTAGGAATCACCAGCAATTCCACAATATGCCCAGTCTCCAACAAGAACAGTGAAAGAAGTTCCAGATTTTCATCTTCTTACCAATGGTTCTCCGTCACCGTCAATAGTAGCATAGTCCATGCTAGTAAATAATACTGAGGTTCCAAATGAAAGATGAAAATGGTATCATCTGGCTGGCCGGCCAAACAGGAAGGGGTATGAGGGGAAAAGAAAGAATCTTGAGCTAAGACGAAATGAATTAAAAGGTGTTGAGGAAAACTCCTATTGATTTTGAAGTTGACAAAACCTTTTATATTTTTGTAAATCTGATACTTGTTCTGAACAATTTTATTCAAGGTCTGTATATTCTGGAAGCTCAGAAGAAAGTTATTCAAACTTTACAAACCTGTCAAGTATGTTTTTGAAGACCCACATAATCTAGGTTCCGAGATTCGAGGCTGAAGTTATTCGGATGCGGATGCGAAGTAGAAGTTTTTCGAGATGCAAATGCGGACGAAGAAATTATTCGGACGCAGAAATTCTTGACGCCGAGACGCAGAAATTCTTCGACGTTGCACGCGAATTTCTTCGACGAGAATTTAGAACATATCACAACAGCTAGTAATCTGGCATGGATTTCACAGAAGGAATGTTCTGATTGTCTCAATCTGAATCAGATTGATTGACAAATCAAACATCACGACAAGAATGCATTACAACGGACAAAGCTCTACTTATGGAAACCAAGATTCGATTGTATGGGCGAGCGAGATCGCGGGATTCAGAATCTGTCAACCAACGGCTACTCAATCCTTATACAAATCTGTCCAAGGTGAAGATTGGAAGATGATCCTCTGAAAGCTGTCCAACGGCTAGTTTGGAAGTAGAGGAGTATTTAAGGAGATCAACGAGCAGCAGAAGGAAGAACAGAATCAAGAATCAACAAGTCCAAAGTCTGAGCATACTCCAATCATTTCTCTTGTCGTTCTGAGCAAAACATTAAGATCTTGAGGAATACTTTGTAAGAGTGATTGTGTGAGATAGAGAGTCCTATCATACACAAGAGTATTGACTCTCAGAAGTTGTAATTCCTCTTGATTACATAGTGAAATCCAGCCAGCAGGCTGTAAGCGTGGGAGAGTGGACGTAGGCTTGCTATAAGCCGAACCACTATAAACTTGTGTGCGTTTTTCTATCCCTTAACTCTTACTTTACATATCGCACATCAAGAGCACCGTC